TAAAACTGTAGGGCTGTGAAGCCTACCTGGGTGTAGACTAATTAAAATTTTTGTGGTTTTGGGTTTTGGGACACTTCCGTGAAACGAGCGCTGTATTTAGCATGTGGTCCTTGTGGAACTTGCCAAGCTCACTGCTCGGGGCTTAGTCAGGGGTATCACGACGGTCATGATGACGTCACCGGTTTGCAAAACTAAAGAGGAAGTGGCGGTCGTCGGTAATGCAGACAACTGGTCTCCGGATCAGGAACCGCACGTGCAATTGCTGCTCCGTTCCTGACAATCACAGGTGCTCCAATTGGTTGCACAGTGCACTACAAAAGGCCTTTCATATCTGACCCGGCTATCCAAGTCGATCAAATACCTTACTCGAATTGGTCTTCATTTTCCAATTTCCCCCGGGTTCTTCCCCCTCTAATTCTTGGCCCTCGCGTTTTTACCGACCTGAGTTTTGGACCATCTCTTTACAATACCTTTGCCGCCTGAGTCCAACCCAGAGTTCAAAACCTCCAGACCCAGCCGACGCGATGCCCCGGTCACGCTCAGGGGGCTCAAGCCCAACCACCAATGGCGACCCCGTTGACTTTGACGTGGCCGCCCCAAGGTGCCCGCCCACCAGCCGCCGCAAGCAGGCCGTAGACACCGACGCCTTCATCAGCAAGCCCTCCATTGCCCGTGCCAATCTGGCCGTGTCGATGGCCAAGCCCGAAGGCAGTCCCGAGTCGCAGAATAAGTTCAAGGACTATGTCAGTTGCGCCCAGCTAGCCTAATGGTCTCACATGAGGACGGGAACTGATCATGCATTTTGACTGTGTGACTCTACAGACCGTCCTCCAGCAGCACGTCCTCTTCTGGGACCGTGACAACGACGGTCAGATCTACCCCTGGGACACGTACATTGGCTTCCGGGACCTGGGGTTTAATATCCTGTTCTCCTTCCTCGCGATGGTGATTATTAATGGCAACTTTTCGTATCCCACGCGGTTGGCCAAGTCGTACATCCCGGATCCCTTGTTTCGTGTCTATGTGGGGAGCATCCACAAGGCAAAGGTACGATGTTGGACAAACTTGAGCACTTTCCATTCTCTTCTCATAGACTCATCCTTTGATCCGTTGGCGCTAACTTTTCGCTCAGCACGGCTCTGATTCTGGAACTTACGACAGGGAGGGCCGCTTCCTCCCGCAGAACTTTGAGGACATGTTCTCCAAGTGGGACGTGACGGGCTCTGGGTCGCTCTCTGCCTCGGAGCTGTGGAACATGATCAAGGGGAATCGGCTGGCTGTTGATCCGTACGGGGTATGTCGTGGTATTTCCTTGCCAATTCTCGCGTCCTAATGTGAGTGGCTAACCTGGATGGTTCCAGTGGGGTGCAGCTATCTTTGAATTCGGAACCACCTGGCTGCTGGTGCAGAAGGATGGGCGCGTGTCTAAGGAGGACCTCCGTCAGACGTACGATGTGAGTTTTTCCGAGTAAAGTGGAGGGTTAGGAGCTAGAGTGAACGGCTAACCGAACCAGGGCACCCTCTTCTGGAAAATCAAGGAGGCCAGAGAGCAAGGCAAAGGCTGGGACAAGGGATTTGGCCTCGGGGATCTGGTGGTCCTGGCCAAGAACACTATCAAGGGATTCTTGCTGAGGGAAGGCGGCCCCTTGGAGAATCTCGCCCGGCGCAGTGACTGACGATAAAATGATATTGCGACGTCAGTACTGCACTTGTGGTGCTACCCTGAACAAACCAAGCGATTTAGCACCTAAACAGCCATGCTGGCGAATGGGTGCTGCTTCTACGGTGCTGTTTCATTCAAAGCGCCGACCAGCATTCTCAAGGCTTCTTTCTGGCTCAGAACCCACAGCGGTATAACATAAGAAAACAGGACGGAGTTAGGTACCAAGATACTGCGCGGTCTCCCAGCGTGTTGACATCTACCAGCCAAAGTGTCAGTAACCCACGTATCTGACCTGAAGTGGGATCTAGGAAACGAAATCCTTTCGTAGCGTCCGAATCAGCTATCGCCGTTGGAACCGACCTCAGCTTAATCCTCAAACTTCTAAAAGCGTCTCCGCATACCCGTCCCCTTCACCCCTGAGCGTATCCACCCGCTGCGTGATGCCTCCATTCAAGACCGGCAACGGCGTGTTGATAAGATCCCTCTGAATCCGCCTTGCACTTTCCAAGAACCGCTGCTTCACCTCCGTTTCGTACCTCTTATCCACAATCTTCCCATCCCTCTTCCTCCACCGCCCATCCACCATAACCCCCTGGACATCCCCGATATTGGCATGCAGGATCACAGCCGCGACCGGATCAACCCAGCCCAGCATGCCAGGACTCGTCCCGTCCCAAATCACCAAATCCGCCTTGGCGCCCTCACAGAGCACGCCTAGGTCATCCCTCCGCAGCGCCAGCCCGCCGTGGCGCGTGGCCAGCAAAAAGGCCTGGTTGACCGACATGGGGTTGTTGATGGGCGTCTGCCACAGGTCAAGGACGAGTTCGTAGCGCGTGCGCCGCGCGCTCTGAAGCCACAGTCGTGCCTGCGTCAGGATGTCGGTCGAAAAGGTAAAGTGCGTGTCGACGCCCAGCGCGGCCTGGTCCAGGATCAGGTGCGCCGTCGGGTGCCCGTGGCCGTAGTGCATCTCGGACTCGGGCGTGATGGAGATGTATTGGTTGGCGGACCGCAAGAGGGTGGCCCCCGCCGCGGTGAGGAAGGAGGCGTGCGAGATGATGATGGGGATGGGGAGGTTGAGGATGTTGAGAGAGTCGAGGTCCTCGGGCGAGTTGTCGACTGCGATGGGTTAACGTTAAATGTTACCTAGAGTCAGGGGCAGGGGTTAAGCGGAGTGACTTACAACCATAAGGCCCTTGGACGGAGTGCGTTGTCAGGACAGAGAGGTTGAATTCCCTGTCACAGTCAGTGTGCCGAACACAGCATGCAGTGGCAGTATGTGAGAACACACCTTATGAGTCCAACAATCGCCTCCACCACGGTGAGGTTTGGATTCGGTCCAAACGAATCATACGCAATTCCCATGCTCGTCGGAGTCCCTCGAAACGAAGCAGTGGCAGCAACTGCTCGCAAGTCGGCCAGCTGCTCGTCGATGCTAAAATTCTCCCTGTCCTGAATTGTATAGCACCAAAAGACACGCGCATTGCTGTCGATGGATGCCTGCAAGCCTGCCACGGCCGCTTCGTGAGACCACGTGTGATGCGCATGGTCCACGGAAGTCGTCACGCCAGCATTGAGCGCCTCGTACAAGCCCGCCAGTTGGCCGATGTAGACATCCTCGGCACTGACATGACCTTGCGCGGCGAAGCCGATGTACCGAGGGAAGTACTCGATCAAGGACGTGTTGCTCCCAAGCGTCTTGAACGCCGTCTGCCAGCCATGTCGGTGGGTGTCGATAAAGCCAGTGGTGAGAATCTTGTCCGTGATGTCGACCTCTTCAGTGCCGGACGGCAGCTCAGAGCGGGTTGGGAGGTTCGGGAAGATGCTGGCAATTCGGTCGCCTGTCACCAATACCGCGCCGTTGCGAATCACTTCGAGCGATTCAGTCTCTCTGTTGAATGCGACAATCGTGCCATTCCGAAAGAGGGTTGACGTGGTGTTGGCTGCGCATGCAGCCGATATGTCCAAGACTTGGAGTAAAAGAGGGAGAATGTGTCTGAGCGGCATCATGACTCCAGGTCGTATTTGGTGCCAGTGATCTCATGCAACTGCTGTATAACCCTTTGCAGCTGATGACACTGAGATGCGGCATGCCCATTATCGACCCGAGGCAGGTTCTGTTCGAGTTTGATCCGCGTCCTTTAATCACCTCGTATGCCCGGTAGGCGGAATAGTTTGAGAGCCGAGGGGCCCGAATCGGGGCGGATGCGCCTTCGGCCAAACCACGTCATAGTTTCCAGTCCCTGGCCAGCACCAGGAGCGAACCAGGCAATTGTATCTCGGCCGGCAGCAAAACACGGGCCAGATCGGCTTTTATGGACCTCGCAAGGATTCTACGAAGTAACGCCCGCTTGGATTGCAACTTCGCACAGGGTATCTCATTGGTCGGACAGTCTGAGTATTACCAACAATATCGGCCCAACAACAGTCCCGAAGCTCGGTTTTGGGTCCTGATCGGCTGTTTGCCTGACTACAGATACCATAGGTATATGTCATATGTTCAGTGTTTACAGGGAATTCAAAAACAACACCGGTATAGCCAGTGATACAGTTAAAAGTCATGTCCTATCGCTGTGTCTCCTATTAAGGTGTAAGCGCCTGTGGGCTAGGGACTGGAGTGCTATCTCAGGGGGCACTACTAGTTGGAAGGAGAAAGAGGCGTCTAAGCGGTACCTAACCTATGTTATCATGGCATTTTGACCAGTCCTTTGCAAACAAGGGGGACATTACTTACTGACACCACGCTGACATTGATGGCTCCTTCGTTATGCAGGTTATCAAAGCCCTGTTGAGTGGGAAGGAGGAACCCTGGAGGAACCCTGTATTTGTTGGAGGCCACTGTGGGCACTGGGCTTGGCTCTTTTCCCTCCTCCAACCTCCAACCTCCGTACAGACAATACAACCATTCTTTGCTAGGCTTCTTCAGCCCCTTTCATAGCATTCGCCCCTTGCAGATCTGGCACTGCGCGACTACCACCTCCCGAGCACCCCTTGAGCAAATTTTGCCACAGCAATGTCCAAATAGCCTGCCCGGCTAGCTCAATCGGTAGAGCGTGAGACTCTTAAGGACTCTCCGTCATCTCAAGGTTGTGGGTTCGACCCCCACGTCGGGCTCAATTCCCGTCGAACGACTTCTTTTTTCTTTTTCTTGTTTTTTCTTGTTTTTTCCTTCCCCTTCCCAAAGCGATTCCTAAGAGCATAAGGTGAAAAGGAAGGTGTATAAGGTAGGTAGGTAATCTCAATCACTAGAGCTCCCTTTCCCAAAACTTTTGGGCCAAAAGCCTAGCTGAAATTAAGGCACATAGTACGGACCACCGGAACCTTACACAGTTACACTTGCTTGACAGGCCAATACTTGTCAAACCAGCGGCCAGAAAATGAGCTGCGGGTTGTTCAGGGAACAGCAGCTGATGAGAATTCGGCCCTCGGGCCGGTTCCTCGTATATTGGTTCGCCCGTCGGCTAGATTTGGGGGCCGAGACCGAGAAGGATTGGAAGACCAAAGCCGAGAAAGAAGTGGGATGCCGATACCTAGGCGGCTAGGCCGAGGAGGACCTTGAAACACGAGGGAATGGGATTAGATATTGGCAGCCATTATACCTAATCTCAGCAAACTGGTTGATGACCATCCACGATACCTCCGTCATGGCTTCAGAAGTCGGATTTAGGCGCAGCATGTACTTAGCAAACGACTTCACGGCCAGCCTGGCTCCGTTAGGTCTCGATACAGTGCATGGCCGAACCGGCGGGGATAGCTCAGCTGAGTCGAGTCTGTGGACTCACTACTAGTAGTTGGGCTGCTGTACTGTACCGTGGTATGCTGTCTGGTTGCGGTTTCGAAGAGTGGTAACTCGCTCTGAATGGTCAGAAGTACGCCACTTACAGCCCGCCACATAGAGTCAAGCAGAGACACCGGCATATGTAAGTAAGCTCCCCGCTTTGCACAATGGCATCTCCCATCCCCGCAGACGACTGGACTCAAGAAAGTAGAAAAAGAACATCCTATGTCTTAACCTCATTACGAAGCTCCCAACCATAGGCGATGTAACTCGGCAGGAGTATCTAGAGGTATGTAGTGGTTGCAATGAGATGCTGTCGAGAAACTTCAGGGGTAGACGTGATATTAACTTTCTGAAATGAGAAGTACCAGACCTCGACCAAACCGATCAAATTCTCGGCGGAGAAAATGAGGATTTGGAGAATACAAGATGGCTGTTGCGACCACGAGTGCGAGCATAGATGGAGAGTCTGATATCCACAAACGAGAGCCACTCCTGACGTTTATAAATGCAATGCGACACTGGGATCGTTATCCTAAGAACCTTCTCGATCGCACCGGACTTGATGATCTAGTCACCGACATCACAGGCAACTTCACCGCCACCGAGCGCAAGGTCCTCTTCGGAGCGCCATTCAAAGGTCAAAAACGGCTCCCAGCGCGTGCCAAAGCTATCAGAAAGGCTCTTCAGGTTCTCATTCACGATGCAGGCATCAGCAGGAACGACGCCTCTGACTCGGAAGAAGAGCGAGACAGAGGAAGAATCATGGATTATGGGACCTAACGTGTCGTCTCGGCCCGAGCGCTTGACGAGTTCTTCGGTTTTCGCCACAATCCCTGTAGCCGAGACGAAGACGGCTCGCTTGACTTGGCACTAGGGGCGGATCCAGTCTGCCGGTTCATGTTAGTTCCCTTGACTCTTTTCACTAGACTCCGGTATTTTGTGAAAGCGGGAGTCACCCGACCATTGACATGCTTGTTTACCTACTCAGTTTCTTGGCATCTTTGGTCTCTTCCAAGCGCCAGCGACTCAGAATTACCGAGGAGATGCTGCTGAAAATCCTCACTTACCACCAGGTGTCCCCTTGCTTCCTTCACTTCATATCGTACCTAGGCAATGACCCGATGACAGGTGAGAGTGACCCCTTTTTCGGCAGCTTTTACCGACTAAGGATGTTTTCGAAATCGGCCTCTTCACTCGTCGAGCTCGGCAGGAGTGGTCGGCACTACCAATTCGTCTTTGAGTTGCGGGTGATGCTCAAGGATCAGTTGTTGGAGGAGGACTACGATGAGGAGGAAGAGTTGTCTCTGGACGAATACGAGCTCGCAAATCTGTATGGCAAGACCAGGGCGGTGGTTTACCACCATTTTGACGTTGACAACGGCAAGAGCCTGTGGATCATTACGAGCACTGATCCACACAGTGACGAGACTGCCTCGGATGGCCTGAGGGACAACAGTTCCAACGATATCAGGTCTGCGTTCTTAACCCGCGCCTTGTCGTCGAGTAGCCCAATACAAGAGCGGTTCGAGAACAGTCTGCGAGCACTAGTCTGCCTCGTTGACTGGTCAATGAGCAAGTACAACTCCTACATCACCTTGATGGATGATGTCTTGGGCGATCTTGTAAGCAACCCCGATTCGCTGCTGGTTGCCCGGCTGGAGCTAATATCAGCCAGACGGATATATACACCGTATATGAGCATGGAGATGACGTCGAAGGCATTGCGTTGAAGAAGCTGAACCGCTTCATGGAGCAACTGGAGGAATGCATAACGAGCCTTGAGGCGAACAGATATGTATGTGCCGCCCTCATCAAGTTTTACAGACAAGAACTGCTTCAAGATCCGAAACTTCAAGGGCTACAGCTTGATTGGATCAACAATCACCATGAGGAAGTTCGAAAGACCATCGACGATGCGACTGCGAGGATACAAGTCTATTCCGAAAACATCAATGACATTCTGCGGCGGGCTGCCGTGGTGCAGCGCATAGGTAGGAGGCGCGAAGCCACGGTAAGCATTCCATTCCTTCATGTTCCTGTTGTTGTTAAGTTAAATGACCTTCCATCTCGTACGCTGACTACCACGCAACAGATCCATAGATTTGTCCAGGACCGTAACGAGCGAACGATGAGAGATCTCGCCGAGTTCACACGCCAGGACTCGGCAGCTATGCGTGTCTTTGCGACCGTTACCTTAATCTTGCTACCCATGAGTGTAGTCTCTGTAGGTTCTTCATGTCCATTCTCTGCTGAGTCCATCCCTTGATGCACACGAAGGCATTGTTGAAGTAGTACCGTCTTCAACACACACGGCAATCCCGAGTCCTACCAAACTGACCTAAACCCCACAGACAATCTTCACAACCGATATCGTTAAATTCTCGCCTCCCGACTCGCCTTCCTCATCCTCCGCTCCCCCTTCCAGCCCAACAGGCCATGTGCTCCTAACGGCCACCTTTTCCCCTGGGACCGCTTTCTGGTGGACCATTTCCAACATTTTTGCGACCTCTTTAGTCGGAATCTCCAGCGAGCTTTGGTGTCGCGCGGCTACCAGGGCATCATTCAAGAAGGGGGCGAGTACCTCGCCGGCACTGCGGCGATCCTCCGGTGGTGACAGGCACGCCTGGTTCAAAAAAGGCTCAGAAGCCAAGGCAAAAAGGGGACTGCAGGCCGGGCGGGCGAGCAAGCCCACAAGTTGGAGATGGGCCTTTCCGGGGTGGTTCGACCAAAGACGGCCCGGGAAGCGGCTCAAGAAAAGGAGGCCTGTTAGGGGAAGGGGAAGTTTGAAGAGCCGTGGCAAGGGGAAAGGGTAGGATTGTTATTGCGGTTGGGCCTGGGAATGGTCGTAAGAGATTAGGTATGTCTGTTGAAATGCACGGTTATGGGGTACGAAGATGATTGTATCCAGCCCTGAGCAGTTTACCTCAAAGACTGGGAGATAGCCTGAATACCTTATGTAGATACAGATGAACGGATCCCTGCTCCACGAGGTACCGCACTTCAACGTCCCTGTGACAGTATTACATGTGGTCTCTGCCCCTGAATCTCAACACTTTTACACCCCCACGTGCATGCTCAACACCTCGCACAGCCACAACACGGTCAACACCTACCCCAGACAACCCTGTCCGGCACCAGAGAGCCTTCCATCCTAGGCATCATGGGTCACCACCGCTTTAAGCGTCACGGTCCGAGGTGCCGATCCCGTTGTCGTCGACAGGAGCGTGGTTGTCCCGGCGCCAGTCACGGTTGTCGCTGGTGTCGACAGGAGAGGAAGTTGCGTGATTGTCCCGACGCATGTCACGGTTGTCAGTGATGTCGACGGGAGAGGAGGTTGCGTGGTTATCCCGGCGCATGTCGCGGTTGTCAGTCGTGTCCGCAGCCGTGCCGATGGAGGCGTCTGGCACGGCGTTTTCCTGCCGTGTGTGCAGGCGAGCGGACGGCAGGGCCATTGCCGCGGTGGCGAGGCCCAGGAGGACAAACTTTAGTTGCATTTTCCTGTGTTCTTTGGGGAGTTGTTGGTTGCTTGTTGGTGTGTTGGGGATTGAGAATGACTGGAGACGGAGAGTCTAAGCTAGCAACGGGCCCTTTTATGGTTTGCCTGCTTGGGTCTCTGGCTGGACAAGCAAGTTTGAGGTTGGTGACGCCCGACCCGCTGCCGTGAACCGGCGGGTGGAATGCTGACCCGACGAGAAGGATGACACGTACATCATGGACTCCTGAGCAAGTAAGCGATGCATCTAAGCCACCCCGTATGCACTAGTTTGCTTGTCCAGAGCTCCTAGGGCCAACGAACTTGCTAGATTCCATGAGCCAGTCTTGACTAACTGGAAAGCATCGTTTGACACCAGCTTACTACCGAAAGTGCTGCGTCATGTCATATCGCAACGACGGTAGTCCAGGCTGTTGCGAATGTCAACAAACCCCCGGTGTAGTCTGGTGAATAGGACCAACTCACCTTCGTTGCAGCCTCCGCGCCGGCTGGCCTCTCTTGCATCTCCTTGATCATCCTGAAGAAAGAATCCTTCTCCATTGCCTCGTCCGGATCTGAGTACTGAAACAGCCGCCGCATGTTGTCCGTCGAAATAGGGTTGATAATAGTCGCCCAGATCCGTCTCCGTACCTCGTCGTACACGTCGAGGATTGAATCATCGGCTTGACCGGTGTGGATGCCCACGAGGCTCTCGTAAAGGCTGCCGACGTCGGCAATACCCCCTGTAAGACCCATTCCACCGCTGTTCGTGATTACTTATCAGTATCACATGCATTCATAACTGGCAAGATCACGGAAAAGCTTACAAAGGATTACACAAATGAGCTGCGTCTGCCGCCAAGATGTACCGCCCGACGCGCATCTTGTCCACGCACCGCTGGTGCACCTTGTATGGACTGAAATTGACCAGCTTGTACTTATCTGGCGTGGGGTTGCCGGGCAAGAAGGCTTGAAACTTGGCCGGCTGTCTTTCCTTCAGCTGATCGTATGTGAGCCCTCCAACCTCACCATACGTCACCCGGTACAGGCCGTCGGTCTGAATCCGGGCGACCATATGCCTGAGACATGTCAGTCTGTTCGTCCTCGTTCCACGGCATGATTACCAACTTACCAGTGTTCCGGATGGACAAAGAACTGGCTATCGTCGTAGCCACAGCTCCCTAGATAATCGTAATACACATTCGTCGCCACAATCTGCTCATCCCACGTATACCCAGGGAAAACATCATCCCCAAACAGTCTCCTCCTAATCGTACTATTTGCCCCATCACAGCCGACCACGTAATCGGCCTCCCTGACCTCAGTGACCCCACCCCCTTCGTCCTCGGTCCCCTTCCTCTCAACCTTGACCCACGCCTTCCCCTCCTCCTCCGGCCTGCCAATATCAACAACCTTATATCCATAAAAGATCCTCGCGTTGTCCTGCTTCAGGACCTTTCTCTCCAGTATCATCCCCAACCTGTGCAGGGGCAAGCAGACCATGCTATGCCCACCGGGGCCTGGTGTGTTGCGGACTGCGACCATTATGGTCTTGTCTTGGTCGAGGCGTCGCCACGAGACGCCGTCCGGGATGAAGCCTTGGGCACAGACTTCGTCCAGGATCCCCGCACGCTCGAATTCGATGCACGACTCGGCCGTGTAGTGGCTCGCGCGCGGGTTGTTGTCTAGCCCGGTGGCCTGCTCCAGCAGATCCACCGGGATGCCTGCCTTGGCGAGAAGAAGTGCGAGCAACAGCCCGGATGGGCCCGCGCCGACTATGATCACTTTTGATAGGGGCATTTGGGAACTTGAAAGGGGGGATCGGGATAACTCTTGGGCTGGGATGGTGGCTGATGTCTTTAAGCGGTTTTAGTAAAAGAAGAAAGTTGAGAGCTTCAAGTCGTAGCTGTCCAGTCAGTTTCCCAATCAAGAGAAGTCGGAGAGGAGACGGAGCCATGAATACCTGTAGGCTTGTCAGATACTACTAACCTGCAGGCGGTTTCAACTTGAAGTTAGGTACAGTCGGGGATCTGATCTATCTACCGATAGCAATCAAGTGAGGTTGCTGGCAGATCTCCAACTTTGCCCCGCACACAGACATCCTCAATCATTGGGGGCCAGGGCGGGTGAAGAGCCGGGATATTGAAGAGACATGAAGGGACAGGTATTGGGTACAACGCTCTGGCGGGTAAGTGTTTCCGTCGCTTCAATCGCAGACCTCCAGTAACTGGAGCGGTATTTTCATTGAAATGCATGAGATCTTTGACCTGGCGTTGAAGTTAGGCGTTGGACACAGGTGTTGTGATGTCTCAGGGGGGAGTCAGGGGGGAAAAACGACGAGGGGTTAGGGTTATACGCGTCTTCGGAACTCGCTCAAGTCGGAGGTCGGTGAACGCCGATTTTAATTCTACAAGAGTCGTTGCTACGCTTGCCTCTCGAGAAGATAACGCTCGTGTGTATAATGCTCCGCGCTGATTGACGGCGGGGTTACAGCCATGTGGCATCGTCCCTGCCGCTGGAATGACGAGTGTCCTGTGATCTTGGATGGTTCCCGATGTTTCTCTGCCAATTGAGGTACAATAAGGTAAGCTCGGCTCCAGGCGGAGAGATTGCGTCGGTATGTACATTGAGGAGGGTGGACATCTGTTAGTGCAGCGAAAATTTTGTGTGCAAAAACGATCCTCTCGACTACCCCTCTTAACAGAACTTCAGGTCGGATATGTACTCTCCCGTACTTGCAGCTGCAAGTGATCTTGAATCACAAATGTGGAGTAATTGCAATTGGCATTTCAGCGTCGACAACAGACTGCCACTGCGCATGAGGTTAAGCTCAGTAGGCTGATTGGGTCGGGTACTCGACAGCAAACGGGGTGGTCAGACCGTGATTTCGCATCTTTTTGGAGTGCTCGAATGCCCAAGTGAACGCCGCAGGCGCTTCGTCGCCGCTTCCCAAGGTACCTTACCTAAGGTAGGTACTCACTGCAATATGCCCCATAAAATGCCTTACCACCCAACCCGGCATTGTTGCATACGAATCTGCCTGCAGTGGTCCTGCCATTGGTAGCATTGCTGCGGGCTGAGCCCCTTGCGGGGCGGCAGGATCGACCAGCAAACTGTACTGGACTTCGTATTGTGCCCAAGTTGCCTCGCTACGCGGTGAGTTCCAGGTTGTAAAGTGCCATCTGACGAGACACCTCAGCTCGCTCAGGTACCACCTGCCCCGAATCGCTGCCATACAGTAACTTCGTCGATGATTCCACATCGCATGACACTAAGAAGATCTACCGGTATCTTGGAGCTCCATATTCTCGATTTACCACCTGGCGCATCTTGCCACGCAGTGCACGCACTCGCGGCATCATATACATATATAAGTGCAAGTCGGTCGAACATGAAGGTGACTGCTACTACCACGACTCGAAAACTACACCTAAACCTGGGAAATACTTCGAGTACTACTTGGTCAGTGACACCCAGGTCGTGCTGGCTATGGACCAAAAGCATGTGTGTGTCGTCGGCGCCGGGATATCTGGCTTGCGATGCGCCGATGTCTTGCTCTCGCACGGATTCAAGGTGACTATCATAGAGGCGAGAAACAGGATAGGGGGCAGGGTGCGTTAACAGTCGTGTTCGATGCATCTACGGCGGACCAACTTACCTTTCGGTTACAGATCTGTCAGTCCGAGGGACTTGGGTATACAGTTGACATGTACGTCTCCGTGCCATGTCAAACCGCAACACAGTTGAAGACCACGAGCAGAGTAGCGAGGCTAATTGAACACAGAGGCCCCAACTGGATTCATGCCTGGTCTGACTCGGGTGAACCTCATCCCATTTACAAGCTGGCTATGGACACCAAGACTCCACTACACCACTGGAACAACAAGCAGCTGATCTTCGACTCGGACGGGAACAAACTTCCTGATGAACTGACCGAGCGCCTGTCGACCATTCTCTGGGAGATCATTGAAGAGGCCTTCAACTTCAGCAAGGCTGCTCACGAAAAAAACGGGGGTAAAGACATTGCGAGTACTGACTCCTTACAAGATTTCATCCGACGAAGAGCTCAGGACATTGTCTCAGACGCGAAGGAACGTGCCCTGCTGGTCCAGATGAGTGAGATGTTTGGTGCCTACGTCGGGCAGCCGGTGTGGCAACAGAGTCTACGTTTCGCGTGGATGGAGGAGTGCTGTGGCGGAGGTTCTGCCCCCATTCTCATCAGTTCCGCTTACCACGCTGACATTGGGCATCTCACATACAGAGGAGATGTTTGTTTCGTCCAACTATTCCTCCATCCTCGCCCTCGCCGCGAAGCCCGCGCTGACCAGCGCAACTATCCATCTAAACACGCGGGTAGTGGGCATCACCTCTCACCCAGCCGCCTCTCCGACCTCGCGTCAGCTGGTAACTGTCACCACTGATCATGGGCAGACTATGTCGTTTGACGAGGTGGTCGTGACTGCACCGTTGGGATGGTTGAAGAAGAACCACTCAACCCTCTTCGATCCCCCGCTCCCCCCTCGCATCAGGTCCGCCATATCCAACCTATCTTTGTCCCAGCTAGAAAAGGTCTTCTTCAACTTCCCGAGTGCCTTCTGGAAAACAGGTCTGCCCAACGAAGACGATTTTCCATGCTACACAAACTGGCTTTCTCCGACATACTCTGCGTCAACCAACCCTTCCAAATGGCCGCAGGAGATATGGGATCTCTCCTCCTTTGCCCAGCCAAACAGGCACGCTACCATCCTATTCTACCTCTACGGTGACTGTACACGTCACATCGTCAACATGATTAACGGCCAGACTCCCGCGGAGAAGCACCGTCTGCTTGACGATTTCTTTCGGCCCTACTACTCCCTTCTCCCTGGATACGACGCCGAGAATCCAAACTGCACACCGCAAGCCATTCTGGCGACCGAATGGTTTAAAGACGATCTCTGCGGCAATGCGAGCTACTGCAACTTTCAGGTCGGCGTCGAGGAGGCGGATAAAGATGTGCTTGCCTTTAGGGAGGGCTGTGTTGAGAGGCGGCTGTGGTTCTGCGGGGAGCATGCCGCGCCGTTCGACGAGTGTGGCACCGTTGCGGGGGCTTATCTTAGTGGTGAGAGCGTTGGAAGGAGGATTGTGGACTTGTACAAGTCTGAGAGCTAGCGGATGCCTGGGTTTGGGGACGGTCTACTCTCCACATGTGCTTACTGCGTAAAGTATCAGTCAATGTCTTGACGAGAATCGTTATATCGTGTTGCTGTCTTAGCTACTACTACATGTCCCTCTGGAACAAGTGACTCGTAACATATCGCATTATCGTACCTTACCAAAGTCCGATACACATCGGACATGAGTACCAGGTTGTACATAAATACTATACAGCTATCGAGAAGGAGATTTGGGCCAGGAAACCTGTGACGGATAGCCCCCTTGCCATATGTCCAACACGCACATTATATCCTAGCCCCAATAAAGATGATGCAATCGCCAACGGGCCCCTTTGACCACAACCATCGTACTGATAAGGGGATATCCTACTTACCTACCTGCCGCCCACATCCGTCAGGCCTGTCCTCCAGTGCCCGGAACTCGTCTATCCCATCTCCCTAACCCTCCGATCTCTCGCCTCCCGTTCCTCGTCAAACATAATAACCAGCTCTGTATGCCCCCTTTGCGCAGCCAAGCTTCCGGGTGTGTCGCCATCCACGTCGACATTATCCAAATCCGCTCCGTGGTCAAGTAAGATGCGGGCAATCTCCCTGTGGCCCCCGTAACCGCACATGCTCAGGGCTGACCAGCCCCAACGTTCCCGGGCGTTGACGTCCATGCCCAGACTGATCAGCTTGGCCACCCGCTCCAGGTCGCCGTCGCTCGCGGCCTCAATGATATCGGTGTTGTTCTTGAACAGCTTCTTGATCATGACCACAGGGTCGGTGCGTCGTCGGATTTTTATCGAGGGGATTGCAACCCTGTCTGGGAATGATGTCCCTTGTTTGTGGTCTCCCGAGCCCTTGGCGTCCAGCGGCCACTCGAGATGTTGGCGCTTCAGTTCCTCCTCAAACGCATCGTTGGCAGTGGTAAGAGGCAATCCTGACGAGACGTGGTTGCCATTGCCCACATGCAGTGACGAAGCGTCCTGTTCTCCGAAACTGGGGTGAGTCATGTCACTTGTTGGAGGCTCGAGGCTGTAAGGCGGCAATTTTGGAGCAGCATCATTGCATGTTTCGTCGAGTCCTCCGTCGGATAGAACCTGCTTGAGCCAGCCGAGGATGTAGTCCTTCTTCTCCTCGAGCACGGCCGGGCTGATGCCCACGTCCTCGAGCTCCCTTCGCAGCTCGAACCACACGTCGGGCGACTCGATTGCCTGCGCAGCATCGGGCGCGCTGGCTACTGATTTTTCACGTAAGCCGCCTCGAACCTCGGAGATGAATTTGTCCAGCTTCTTCTCAAGACGCGTGGTCCTTGCGCTACAGTACTTCTTGTCAGCCCACGTGTAAGGGGTATGGGTCAAAGTGAGGTCTCCTGGATTAGCAATGAGAACATACTTACAGGACGATAGAGAACCAGGCCGTGAGATTGGTTACCGAAGTGATCAAGCGCCTGCGGAGTTCAGACAAATCCTTCAACCCATACTTCAGGCGGTCCCAAGTTCTCTGTTGCTGGGTGCCGAGACTGTCGTACTTCAGATACAATGCCTCCATGTCCTTCAACACCTTCTCGCATGGGCCGGTGACCATGGCCAGCCGGTTGAGCCGCGAAGTGTCAAGCTGGTCGCCATTTTCGCTCAGGAACTCGGAGATTTCGGTAAGAATCGCGTGGAGAGAGAGTACATCTGCCGTGAGCTGAGCAAAGTCTGCAGATGACTCTTTGTACGCCTTGTACAACCCCCACGCGCACTCGCTCAACTTGATAATGTCGCCGACACCAATTCCTAGGCTCATATTGTAGGTAGGTAGGTTGTGCGGCTTTGGAGTGTCGGTCCTTTTTAAGACCTAGGTTTAATGAGATTCAAGGTCAATGCGTTGAGGCAACGAGACCTCGAGATATGCACAGGGCTCCCCGTCTGGTGTGTGTCTGTGAGACCTCGCCAAGACGTTCGTACCTCACAGCAAGCGGCACAGCAATGCAGCGGTTTGGCAGTACAGATAACCTCACATGTCGAGGTTGAATACAGCTACTTTCCCCATTGTCAGCCAAGCAATCTCCGCAAAGCTTGGATGTACAGCCGTGGGACTACCTAAGGTAGTACCTACCGAGAAAGCTTGTAGAACGCGGCGATAAAGGAGTATTCAGGACCGTATAAGGAGGCCTCGAGCACAGCCCCTTAAAGATGCGCAATGTACAATACAAGGATGATATGCACTAGATCATCGATATGTATAGGCTGATAGCAGACTTAAAGTTGTTATTGCGCAGCTTCCCCTGCCCCTGCTCCCTGAGCTCAGGGGGTTTAACTTTAACTCCAGCAAGCGTGACGGGACGCGGGTGCTTGCAGCGGGCGGATATTGATTGGGTTGTAATCCTTGCTTTGACAGGGTGCAGGGGCTCGAAGTGGTGGTAAGGTGTGGTAGGATTGCGGGATTCAAGCGAGCCAAAAGGGGTGAAGTTTGAGAAAGCCCGGCCGGCAGTGCAAAAGCCAGCCTTCAGCTAACTAATAGCTGTATGCAGTTTTTATTGAATCCTTATGCTTTCTCCCCATTTTCTTCAGCGTGGGCTAACCGCTCCGGTGACTGAGGTGGTCTTCCCTGGCCTCCTCTCCTTCTGACTCCAACTCCACAGGGAAAGGGGTGCAGAAGTCAGCTGAGCATACTGCTGGACAGTGCAGTTACAGAAGTCGCGAATACTTCCTCTCCTCACGTACGGCGAGGTTACATTTCCCATATTCTCAGAGTTGTCATCCAGCAGGCTCAGCAGAGCTGATCATCACATAGAGGACTTCACACTTCATATTTTCACATCAAACTCGGCTCACGATATGTTATGTCCCGGTCTGTGGCACCTTCGCTAACATCAACATGTGGCAGACAGGCAGAGGTTGCCAGAAGCCCGAGTTCGAGGCTGCCACAAACATGATGGGCAGCCGTGAAGACGTGCCTTGCGGGTTCAACCGCCCGTAATGCCGCTCGAAAGACAAGATCGCATTCGTCACATGCAACCTCCGGTCGTTTATGCCCTCTCCACAACCTCCCATACATCACCACCAACCACAACTCTGTCGCCCAGCCTAACATCGCGCAATGAACCCGTCGCGAACGGTATCGGCAAATCCTTTTGACCAATCCGGACCTGGCTAACCCATCTCTGCCGACCGGCGTCCCATCTCAACCGCTCAACGGTGATGTCGTCTCCGTCCCGTGCAAGCACCTGGCAGTGGTGCCCCAGCCGAACAAACAATCCCCTCCTGACCCGACCGCTTTGCATCTCTTCATCGCCTTGCCACTGCAACGCAAGACAGCGGACTTCCTCTTCGAGAAGCGGTTCAACGGGCTCAGACCGCCACAGTTCCTCGTAGTCGGCCTCGATTCCCGTGTTGGGGTCCACCATACTGCCCCTTTCCAGGGTCAGGGCTGGGTTGGATGGGTGTTCAAAGTTGTCGCCTTCGTCGACAAGACCTTCTGTATTCGGCGTGCGAGAGTCTATCCAGTGGTGCCACTGGCAGTGTGTCGCCTTGTTGGCAATTACGGTTTCGGTTCCAAACTGGAGCTTGAACTCGCCGACAGTCTCCTTCTCGCCTACCGAGTTGTCGAAGGCAAGGGGAGAGGAAGACGAAGTACCCGCAATCGCCCAATCGAGTCTTGAAAGTGGGAGGATGCCGTCTCCTGACTCGGGACTTGAACCTTCCTCCGTTGGAGTGGCGGCTGATTTGAAGATGCGAAGGTCGACGAAGCGCCGCTCGGGCGTCGTCAATACAATGGTGGATGTGGGCTCGCTCGGCTCCCCTGGGAGCCAGCGTATGTATTCCCGGACCGAGATGTCACCCATGGTTCGTTGCCTCGAGATTGAATCTGACGGGATGACAGTTTCAAAGTTTGACATGTTCGACAATTCATGCGGGGAAGGTTCAAACTTCAAAGAGCTACGGATCAGGTAAGTTTGGCATAACCCTCTAACCCTAACCCTAATCATACTCCGCTTCACACCACCCCCTATCCTATGCGTCAGGCAGGATATACTCTCCACTCTCAAAAGCTGCCACGATATCCTCTCGGGAAGCAGTATAAGCTTTCAAGTGAGCGGCGAGCTTCGCCGGGATAGTTTTACTACATGTAGTAGTAAGCAACCAGCTGACCATGTTTCCGAACAGGACGTTTCCAGCCGTGTTCAAGTGCGTACGGTCGTCCGGTGCGAGATTGTATGTCATGGCCTTCTCCTCACCAATGGCGTTGAGGTAGGCCATCGAGGCCGAATTCAGGTCGATATAAGCGGCGCCGGAAGTGGCCGCGGCGGCCTTGGTGGCTTCGACGACGTCTTCAAGGTCGAGCGAGATCGTACCATTCTTGAACTTGCGACGGGATAGGGATGTTACGAGAATCTAGGTAGGTGAGTGTTGATACACGATAACTTGTAGACATGTAGCTCATGGAGATTACTGACTGGAGTACCACCGGCAGAGCGCACTTCAGAGACCATCCGCTCGAGGTTGGCTTGGAACTGTTCGATACTGACTCCGGAGGTGGCCTTCTGGTCATTGTGACCGAACTATACGCAGACAAAACGTTCGACCACAGTGGTCAGCGATGTCTTTCCGAACATCGGCTGAGTTGGAAACCCACCTGGATTGTAACATAAGTATCATACTCCTCCGCAGAGCGAGTGACGGACTCAATCACAGTCGCCCAGTCGCCTCCGGCAGAGAAGGATGCGGTAGTAGCACCGCTGTGTCCGTAGTTTGTCCCAATGGAACCGCCGAGTAACGTTTCGAGGAACCCGTCTCCCCAGCCTAGAGAACACTTGTTTAGCTCAAGATCCTTCGAGCAACTTATGCATTCACTCAACTAACCTCCAGGGTTGTCACCGCCAGCAGTCGTTGAGTCACCGGCAAGATAGAAAGCCCCTGCCTTTCTTTGTGGCTTGCTGTGAGCCCTGCCACTGGGGGCGCCGGCGACAAGGGAAGCCGAGAAAAAGAAAAGAGATGAAACGACCGAGGTCTTCATGATGCAAGGCATAACCTATGGACCAATGGCTGGATGCGAGCGTACAGGAAATTGCGATATGCAGTGACGGAAGGCACCATGATGGTTATTAATACCAGACAAGAACCCCAAAAGATACTCAGAAAACACTGTTGTGTAGATGATGATTGGAGTGGTTCCAGAACGCGGGGGACGATATGGTTTCCAGGCTAAGTTTTTACAAGAACAGAGTTTTGGTTGGAGGAAAATATCCATGAATCCAAGTGTGGAAGTGCCACGGGTCCTCCACTCAGGCAGGCTAAGGTACGGTACGGTACATACATGTAGCATCATTGATGCGTGCCGGAATATTAACGCGTCTTGAGAAGGGTTTTTTGAATGTTCCGCAGACGCCGACTCTTCGGTCGGATGGAAGGATGTAGCAGCTGAAGTTTTATGATGAGGGTTCGCTTTCTCCAAGGGCCGTTTCTTCAGTCTCGGGGAAGGAAGGCCCGAGGTACATGTAAACATGTGGAACCTGTAGTTACGTCGACGTCACATCGCATGGTACCAAAACCCGGGGCTGCCAAGGCATCAAAATTGGTGGTGATACTCGCGGGGACTTGGTGAAAAGCTGCCGACACAACTGTTTACCGCTCGGATGGTTGAAGGATGGATGATGGGGGAAAATACGGAGGTATTGCTAAGTGAATACTAGGGGAAAGGGACTGTTTATCACACAGTGTCAGGGGCACCAAGGGGTAGTCAACAAATACCCCTTTTTTGTTGCGTTTCCAGCATCAACCGAAAATCACAAAAATCATCTTTGGTCTGAACAAGGTCCGGTTTGACATCTGTTCCTTCCGTCACTGACCGATATACCTACTAGGTATACAGCCATTCTCTTTCAATATTCCCGTCGTTTGTATTCTCTTTCTTTTTCTTCCTGACTCAGACTGGTATAACATGGCAGGTACTAATCAATGAAATGTGTTGAGCCGTTTTATTACCTAGGTACCTTCAAATTGCTCGCTGATTACTAGTACAAGTGACATTGCCACCAGCTAGATGGCTGTCGCGATCAGGGCATTGTTGTGACTTGATCTTTCAAGGGGTCAAGTTGGGATTTATCATTTAACTAACACAATTCGGGTTCATTTTTCCAGGTGAAGTCGGAGCTCGGAAGCAGAATCGAGAAGGAGGAGCATCATCGCAGCCCCCATTGAGAGGACACAGCAAGCAAAGTCTCTACTAACCTATTCTCCAAAGCCGTCTGGGACGAGCTCGATGCGGGGAAACATGAACTTACCTTATGCAACTTCATCCCAGTCTTCCCCACAACCCCAGATCACGGATGGAGCCCCCGAGGCCCCCGCATCCTCCCAGCAACCGGGCAGGTCTGCACCCCAGTGCCAGGATTAGACCTCACGCTAAGCAAATGTCCTCCCACATTCCGAAATACTTTGGTCTAGGGGCTCTCGCGGGCGGTTTAAGGGGAGAGATATTGTTAACCGCCTGAAACGAAGCAAGTTATGGTCTATAGATCATGATATAACCCTTCCTAGTAGTCTAGGCTAGGCCTTAGCCGTCCAGACCAGACGTTGTTTTGGCATACGGAGCAAAGTAATACTTGATCGACTGCAGCATTGTCTCTCTACTCTACCTGCTATTCTCGTCGTGGTGGAATCGCAAAGGAACATCTAGAGGACTCTTATGTCGCCAAAGCTATGCCCGCACTTTATTGTCAGTGGTTATTACTAGATTCTGATTACTAGATTCTGATTTCCCTGCACTATTTCGGTTCCTGAACACTACTAGACATTCATGAAGACACTGAAGTACTAGGACCAGGGCAGGCCGCGTGGTAGAAGCCCCTATCTTGAGAAGGATCTCCGAGTCCTTCTCCATGTAGCCGTTCTTATTCTTGCATCAGATTCTCATCCGAAATTTCAACAAACCCTGCTCGACGATCTCGTCTTTCCGCTCTTCCAATTCCTTCACATCCCAATTGCACGAGAAAAATCTCCCGGCAAGCCACTCCTTCCTCTCCTTTGCCAGCCACAGCATGGCATCAGCAGCAACCTCGGGAGTATCAACCAAATACTTGTGCAAATCTTCGGGCATGTTGGTTGCGAGCTCTGTCCTGACTCCGCCTGGATGAACCGCAACGGCAATCAGCCCCTGGGTGTGGTACTCCTGGTCGATGAATTCGGTGAAACGACAGATGGCAAACTTGGCCGTTTGATAAGACGAGGCCGACGGGTGTATCCACTGGGCACCGATGCTTGAAAGTGTCATGAAAGTCTTGAGCGAAGACTGCAGCACCAGCGGTATGAAGTATTTGGCGAAGAGGTAGGTGCCCTTGACATTGACCTCCCATGTCGTCCACCAAGGCGCCGAATCTGACTCAGTAATCAGTTTCCACCCGTCCAGGTATCCGGCGTTGGCGATCAGCACGTCCAGACTCCCTCCGAACGCTTGACCCACTGTGCTGGCAGCGTCTCGAACCTGGTCCTCCAAAGTGACATCGACGTTTAGCGAGAGAACGTGAGGCTCAGGATGCCCTGCGTTCATAGCAGCAGCCTTGACTTCCTTCTCGACCTCAGCAAGAGAGGACCGTGCCACTAAGGCGATTTTGGAGCAGCCGGCCATGGCGAAGCGGACAGCAGTTGTCTTGCCCACGCCCTTGGACGCGCCTGTAATGAGCATTGACTTCCTAGATAGATCCGCATGGGTCGGTGAGATCAACTCGTACGTGTCATGGTGACAGGTAACAAAGTTCGTGACCTCAGTTCCGTTTGTCATTCGCGGAGAGAGGGTGGGCATGATGAAGGCTTTGTTGGACTTGGTCAAGAAAGTATATTGCCTTGGACGACGTCGTCTTGATGGAGAAGGACGGAAGATCCGATCGCCTATACAGCTATTCGTAGGAAAGGTTCAGTGTGGATAGATCAAAGTCTCTGGTGGAATGTCCAATAACTAGCTGTGATGTTGACGACATGAGAATTCGAGGTTACGATGAAACGACTCAAGACTGCTCACTCATATACCCCTAGCCCTACTGACGGTTCGCGCGAACACGCATGCTTGAAGCTCAAGACTCCAGTGGAAATCTCGACGTAAACTGGCATAGCCCTCGTCTTCCAACCTTAAGTCCGAGTTGAGTCATACACCGATCGGAGGTAAACACTAACTGCGGAATATTGGATGTAGTCAGCTACGCGGCTAATATACTGCCATCCATGTTTATATGCGTGACCTTCCCACCCCCACGCAGCCACAAGAACTCTAACCTCGGTGGGTAACTGCCTGGGGATGAATACGTTTCCGATGAATAGGTAGGTGGCACGGATCCTGTGATTATAAATACAATGAGAACCAAGGCATCATGCGGCCATGCAGTCTCATAAGCCGCTTTGGTGAGTCTGAGGTTCTGCAACGGCTGCCCAGGTACGCCCAATCAACGACGGAAGCAACCCCTTTGAGTGGTAAGCGGAACAGCGGCTGCCCAGCTGAGTAGAACGCTCATGCATTGCATCTTTGCATCCAGACGCAAAGAGAAGTCACGGGCTGACATGGAGCGTCCGCCTCCTTCCCTGACTGGTATCAAAGTACCAACCGATTGCTTCTTTCCGCAACAGCGGCCTATCGATCCGATTGCAGTTACCGTGATGTTGTTGCATTGTAGAAATGCGGAAAAAACATCGTTGAAATGTGACTTCCATAGCAATACTGTCAGGCAGCTTCGACCCTGCAAAGCCCAGCCACGTTGATTTCAATGTTGTTCGGGTACACTCTTCTCAGGACATCAACATCCATGTCGCCAACCTCTCCACACACATCCAACACAACCATCAGTGCGTCCTTACAAAGCACTACAAAGCCAGCATAACCGGCACCATGGTCAGCAACAAGACCCTCATCTTCAAGAAAATCCCCACCGGAAAACCCATCCCCGGCGAGCACATCACCGTCGAGGACCGCCTTGTGGACATCACCACCCCTCCTCCGGGCGGCGTGATCCTATCGGTGTTGTACGCCTCCTTCGACCCATACCTCCTCAGCAACATGCGCGACGCCAAGATCAAGTCATACAGCCCAGCATTTGCGCTCGACGGCCCTGTCGAGACCGACACCGTCGCCCGCATCGTCAAGTCCGACTCACCGGAGCTGTACCAGGAGGGTGACCAGGTGCTGGCATACCTGCCGCTGGCGGAACACGTGGTGCTGGACCAAAGCGAGCTGGGGCGCATCCGGACCAAGCTCCGGAACCCGCACAAGCTGCGGGATCTGGGCATGTTCCTTGGCCCGCTGGGCATGCCGGGTCTCACGGCGTGGTCGTCGCTGTACGAGATTGGCAGGCCCAAGAGCGGGGAGACTATCTTTATTAGTAGCGCCGCGGGTGCGGTTGGGCAGGTGGTCGGGCAGATTGCCAAGAGGGAGGGGCTGAAGGTCATTGGGAGTGTCGGGAGCGAGGAAAAGGTGGAGTTTATCACCAAGGAGTTGGGGTTTGACGGGGGGTTTAATTACAAGACGGAGAGGGCAAAGGTTGCACTGAAACGGCTGGCGCCGCAGGGGGTGGATATCTATTACGACAATGTCGGGGGTGAGCAGCTGGCGGATGCTATTGACGCGATGAACGTGTTCGGGAGGATCATTGCTTGCGGCGGGGTGGGTGCTTCTCCAGCTACTCGGTTCAGAAATCCAGATATTGTTCATGTGCTAACCGGGCATGCAGATCTCAGAGTACACTATCCCGGTGGAACAACGCTACGGCGTGCGCAACTTGGTCCTCATCGCGAGCAAGCGGCTGACGATGCGTGGCTTCCTCGTTTACGATCAGGGGTTCTGGGACAAGTACGAGGATGACCACCAGGAGAAGATGCAGAAGTGGCTCGCCGAGGGAAGCATCAGGGCCAAGCTGCATGTAACTGAGGGAATTGACAATGCTGCCGAGGGCCTGGTTGCCATCTTCGAGGGCAAGAACTTTGGCAAGGCGGTGCTCAAAATCAGGGGCGAGTGAGGGAGAAGCGTCTGCGGCAGACGGTTTGCGCGGGCATCATTAGCGAATGGTGGACTACATTATGAGTTTCAACCCAAGAAGTCCCGGGATATGTCAGGTTAGATGGAGTCGGGCAAAAGTGTATTCTAATGACTCACAACGAGTGTTGACTACCTACGTATGTAAGCAGTAAGCCTGCCGCCATTGAACAGCATAGAATAGTGCCAGGGAGTTGCGTATTTGCTGATTTAACAGATGAGACATCTACCTACCTAGATCCAGAAAGGACCGCCGCTCCTCTCACCCACATTCTAGCTAACTCTCCCGCTCTGTATCATCCCCATCCTCCGCGGTGACTGCCCCATTTCCTTCCTCCGCTGTTCCAGTAGTTACCACAGTGCTCCCATCAACTCCCCTTTCCACCCCTGTCTCGTCCCCATTCACCGCGCTCTCCGCCGGTTCACCCGAGACACCAGGAGTTTTCCAGTTGAACTGTTTACTATCCACCCAGTCATCAGGTCATTTGAACCCATCCCCCTGCTCATCGTCCGGGTCATCGCTGTCACTGTCCGAAGAATCGGTACCATATGTAATGCTGAACTTCTTCTCCCACGGCAACTGCATGTTCAGCATGTGCTGCACAAGCCACATCGTCTTGCCCCTCTGCTTCTCTCTCATCTCCCGGCGTTGCGTGGCCAACGCAGCTTCCAAGCTGGCTTCGTCTAGTACTACTTATTCAGCTTGATCGACAGACCCGTTAAGCCCGCCCGGCCGGGGGAGTAAGTCCCGAATGCTTGTCTGCGTCCCTACCTCAGCGTAGGTCGCGGCAAATCGTGCGCGTTTCGGTTCTGGCGAGGGTGAGTTCCCTTTTCGCCCGCGCCCGCGTTTTTGGGTGCCTGCTGCTGCTGGTGCCGGCCCTTGTGCTGCGGCGGGTTGGTTAGGGGCAGCCTGGGCAGGGGTTGAGGCTGGAGTGGAGCGAGCCCTTCTGCGGTCCGGTAGGTCGGGTGGCGGAGGAGGTGCCGCCTGCCCTGCGATCCGGGCCGACCTTCTAGACGGTCCCGGTAGCAAGCCCTTCGGCGGTCTTGGTCGTCGTCTCCGTTGCTGTCCCGGTTGTGCTCCCGGTTGCTGTGCTGGTTGCTGTCCTGGTTGCTGTCCCGGTTGTGCTCCCGGTTGTGGCCCCGGCTGTGGCCCCGGTTGTACTCCCGGTTGTGCCCCCTGTTGGGTGTCAGACTCTGGCTGAGCTTCTGATGACTCTGTTTCGTCGGTTACTGGTTCTGCCTGCGGAATGCCGTTTGGCAGCGACTCGGGCTCGGCTTCATGGCCAGCCTCTTGTCCTTCCCTGTTTTCTTCCTGAGCATCCTCCCCGTTCACCTGAATTTCTCCATCCACCTCAACTTTAAGTTCTCCGTCCTCCTCAATTTCTTCGTCCGCCTCTTCCTCCTCCGAGTCATCTTGATCTGCTGCCGGGAGCTTATAACGATACAGTGTCAAGTCGCTGATTTCGGCCATTTCAACGCGCTCGTAGGTGTACCAGACGGGAATGAATTGTCCGAGGAGCCACTTCATCTCTTGTTTCAATTCACGTATCAGAGCATCTTCCTCACAAGCACGTATCAGATCATCTTCCTCGTCGGCACTGTCGCACTGCGGTGCATAGGGTGTCGTCTCAAAGTTGGGGTCGGCTGCAGCCCACGAAACATCTCCCATCCACCCGTCACTTTCGTCGTGAGTCAGTACGTCAATGCCCATTGCCCGGAATTCCCTGAGCTTCTCGTGAGCCCTAGGTAACAGCTCATTGATGAGAAAGGCAACAGTCGGGATCGCCCCCGTGACCTTTTGCTCGAAATTTGAGAGCAGTCTGATGAGGTCGTCCGAGTACACTTGCTCCTGACCCTCGTAGAAAGTGATATTATCAGATAGGAACCTCCTCATCTCGCAATCCTCATCAACATCGTAGTCGAAGTTGCCATTGTTCTCCCAGGTGCAGTCGTGGACTGTAACGAGGCGACGAAGCAGCCTTCCCAATGAGTGCATGTCCTCCCAAGCTCCAGTTTCTCCCGCAGCTCTAGGGATGTGGGAATGGATATCCGGGGGGTCCTCGAGGACGACGGCTTGATCAAACTCTCCAAGAATTATACGATGAAAGCAGCAGTCCAGGGGATCCGTATCCTCTCCGTCCTCGGGGAAATGTAAAAATACATCTCTTTCACGCAACCTCCTGTGCAGAAGGATCTTATGGCCAGGCTTAGGATTCTTCATACCTTGGTCAAGATCCTGACGGATCAAGTCCGTCTGGAGCCAGATGACAGCCCGCGACAGCTGTTTCATGACATGCCAGACAAACGGCTCGGGGATCGGCGCGCCAATCTCCGGGTGAGCATATTGCAGCATGAGGTTCTCTAGAGTACCACCATTGAACCGCTTGAAGTATAGCGAAAAGATGTCGGGTTTACCCTCTGAATCGAAGGCTTGGTGCCCGCTGGGGAAGCCGTAACCGTACAGCTTGGGGAAGTAGGGTTCATTTGGGAGCTGGACTTCAACGTGCGGATCCGATAGGCGAGCGAAGCGTAAATCGGGGGGTGCCCAGGTGTCGAAGGCGATCTTGTATGGCGTGTGTTCAAGTTCTGTGCCTTGTGTCTTCTGATTCCAGTCTGGAGCATACCGCTGGAGGCGTTTGTTCACGAACCGCTCTCTTGTGTCGATGCTCTCGACCAGGATGCATTTGCCCGGAGGAGCTTTGGGGTGCAGGTTCTGGATCAGCAAAAACCCTCCGCGGTGCTTGTCGAGCCACTGGTCGCTTGGCTTCAGGTTCGTCGTGCTCGCTGCATGTGCTGCCTGCTCTCTGTACCTTTCCGTTGGGAGTTTGACGTGAAGCTCTCGGAAAGTGGCCGAGGTTACCGCCAGTTCGGGAATGTCCCAAACCTGTCTCCTCTTCCTGCTTCTCAAAGACATCCTGCTGAGAGTGGATGAAGGGTGATGGATTCAAGAGTAGGAGCAAGAGCCCCGGGCTCCGAGCTCGGCAATAGTTTTAAGTCGCAGACCCCTACTAGAGCATGTAAGGTCAGAGAGATCCCTTTGTAGCGGTCCAATCCTTTTTGCTTTGTCCTACTCCAACTCGTTTCCTATTCCGGTAGCTTGCCTTTCATGGCACACGCAGCCGAGGAATAAGAATTTTACAAAGACATTTGATGCTCAAAGAGCAGGTACTCAATGTCCGCAAGCAACAACTCTAGTAATGAGGCTTGGTGCTCAACTGGAAGTTGCGTGGTGTCGACACCAACATCATGAGCTTGCTCTTGGCTGGGTCTGGACATGCCGAAATGGAAGAGGGGTGGAATGCATCATCACGATCCTTTCATGTTGACATATAGGTAACTTTGGCTGCAAAAGGAAATGACTGATAGCATGATGCCGAAGCTCACCTGGACTGGGCCAGGACTGGATCAGACCCTTATGAGCCTATGAACTAGAGTGTGAGAGCATGGTGTTGCAATATATTGTCCTTTTGAATTGGAACGTCAAGAATTAGTTACTTGGAATTTGGGTGTTAATGTTCCGATTGATCAAATTGTTGATGCATGACATGGGGTTCAGGAGGGTGGATTGTAGTAGTTCTAGATATCACCAGACAGCCTGCAAGGGTCCCATAACTGCATGAGACTTTACACACTCCTACACAGCCAAGCATCACCAAGTCAAGAGACCTAGCTGTGAGATGGAGCGTCAGTAGTGTACCTAACGTTAGAAGAGGGTCTAACAGCGGGTTGTAATAGGGGGTAGTGACGCTCAACCCTAACCCCCCGTTTCCCCCCTCCCCCCAAAACCCCGGACAGCATTCACGACCCAGTCAAGGTACCTATCCCGTGATTTGGGCATTACTGCGGCTGTAAGCAATGAGATATTCTACGTTCGAGGGGCCTTGAGTCCGTCTGTATGACATGAAGGCGGCCGCACCGTTCCGTTGCAGCCCGGCTTTCCCCACGTGTGATCCGATCCGACCCAGGGACGGAACCTCTGACGTATAACCACACCCAGCTCCCCGCCGCAAGTGCACCTGCAGTTGACTTCTGGTTATTGGCATCCAAGGACCCTGGACAGCATGGAGGAGCGTAAGGAATTTCACATTGGAGAGTCCCTGTATAAGCGGGCAGTACACCATGAGTCGTTCGAACAGCTATGGGAAACTAAGTGGAAGGCACCAGTAAGGAGTGTCCGCCCTCTACATGCAGAGCTCTCTAGCTAATCATGTATACATCTACAGTGCAAGATGGGTGTCTACCCGTTCATGTTTGGCTGCATCCAGGACTTTGAACCCGTGGTGCAGGCCATCGTCGAGAAGGGGTTGAAGGAACCGTACGATTGGGATGAATACGCCCAGATGTTCTTCCCCAAGGCGGAGGAGCTAGCTGCCATTGCGGAAGCAGCTGAAAAGGATGGCCAGAGAGAAAAGGCGTCCGAGTATTACCTGTTCGTGAACCTATCCCATGCCAGACTTGGAGAGCCTCTGCTAAGCGTTTACATGTAGACGCAGCTCAGCTGTCTACCGCATAGCCCGCTTCCCCATCCCCCGGTCAGAGAAACAGCGCCTTGCCTGGACCAGAGGCAAAGAAGTCTTTTACAAAGGAGCCGCGTATGCTATCCCTCCCCTAATCCTCCCCTCCTCCCCGCCTATTCACCAGTACTTCCTACTACACCTACCAAGGCATCCAGTGCTAACATCCACCAGCCTCCTCCCAAACCCCATCCACGAAGTCCTCATCCCACACACACACGCCCTCCCACCCCTCGAATCCCTCACCTCCACAATCCCCATCAACCTCCACATACCGCCCTCCGCCTCCCCCTCCAACCCAGCACCCCTGCTGCTAATCCTCACCGGACTCGACGGGTACCGCACCGAGTTGGCAGTCTGGCAGCCCGGGTTCAGCGCAAAGGGCGTCGCCACCGCCGTCGTCGAGATCCCGGGAACAGGCGACAGCCCGGCCGCAGCCAACGACCCTTCTTCCCCTGACCGGCTGTGGTCCTCGGTCCTCGACTGGGTGGCAAACACCCAGCCGGCGATTGACAAGCGGCGGATCGTGGTCTGGGGGTTCAGCACGGGCGGATATTATGCCCTGCGCATGGCGCATACCCATGCCAATCGGCTGCTGGGGGCTGTGAGTTTGGGAGGAGGCGCGGATCGCATGTTCGATCCGGCGTGGCTGGAGCGGGTTGATCAGTTGGAGTATCCGTTTGATTTGAGGGGAGCGTTGGCGGAGAAGTTTGGGTACTCTGGGAATTTGGAGGGGTTTATGCGGGAGGCGAGGGATAAGTTCTCGCTTGTGAGGGACGGGACACTGCAAAAGGAGTGCTGCAAGGTGTTGTTGGTGAATGGGGAGGGGGATGAGATCTTTCCGATTGAGGATTTGTGGGCTGCTCTTGAGTATGGGATGCCCAAGGCGGCGAGGGTAGTGAAGTGTACGAAGCATATGGGTGAGCCCGAGAGCTTTGTGGTTGTGTTGAGGTGGATATATGAGCTGCTTGGGCTGGAGGGGGATGTTGGCGATCTGTTGAGGACGTTGCCGAGCAGGATGAAGTATTAGAACTGCCCGTCTGGTAGTCTATGTGGATCGCTGCGTCCCTTTTTTGATCGGTAGCTATAGGTTACCGTAGGGATAAGTTTTTTTTGCACGATGCCATCTTCCTAATGCTGCGCAAGATGAGTGCTTATAGTAAGGGACCTCGCTCCCGGGCCTATCCGTTTAGCCAGGCTTTTGAGGACGGTGCCGTTGATCCATTCTTGAAGCTGCGGAACTGAGTGAACGTATAGGATGCGGAGCACGGTTCAAAACATGTTTCCTTCATGTTGTCATAAGAGTTTGGTATTAGTTGATCCACCCCTTTGGCCCACCCCAAGTCCCCTTCACCATATGATTATAATACACCCACGGGAAAAAGTCCTTCTTCAAGTGATAGAACGCCCGCCGCGGCGTGGCTTGGTCCACGAACTTGGCGAACGTCTCCTTGGGCACGCCACCGTACTTGAACTCGGCCAGCATCACCTTGCCGTACTCGGTGGTTAACGGGCACGAGGTATACCCATCGTACGCGGGCTCCACCTCCTTTGCCTCCATCGCCCGCAATATATTCCCCACCAGCACTGGCGCTTGGGATGTGATGGCCGCAGCCGTCTTTGAAGTGGGCAGGCTGGATGCGTCGCCTGCCGACCAAACATTGCCATACTTCTTGTGCCTCAGCGTGGCGTCATCGACGTCCACAAACCCGGCCGGGTTCGCCAGCGGGCTGTTCTTCACAAAGGCATGCGGGCCCATCTTGGGGACGACATGCATCAGGTCGAAGCGCCTGCTGACCTTCTCCTTGCCGTCCCCGGCCGCAAACACAGCCTTGTCCCCGTCCACCTCGACCAGGTCGTGGGCAAACAGGCCCTCGACGCCGCGCTCCTGCCGCAGCGCCTCCAGCGCGGCGCTGTACTTGGGGACGCCGAACATGACGGGCAAGCCCGTGGCAAAGGTGATCTCGATGGGCGAGGATCCCGTGTTCTTGTAGAACCCCGCGCGCTTCCAGTGGTCGAGCGCAAGCCACATGATCTTTTGCGGGGCGCCGGCGCATTTGAGCACGCCCGCCGGCTGGGTGAAGATGGCGCGGCCCTTGTGGAGAGCCTGGATGGTTGGAAACACCTTGTCAACCGTCTCGTACGTGTAGATGCACGACACGTTGGAGTCCTTGTCGGCTAGCGCCTCGGGCAGCCCCTTGATGCTGAACGGGTCAACCTTGATCCCCGGTACCACGACGAGTTGGTCGTAGGTCAGCCTGGAGCCGTCGCCGAGCGTGATGGTGTTGTCTTCAGGCGCGAATGTGGAGACGGCGTGGTTGTAGAAGCGCAGTTTGGGGTCTAGCAGACTGCGCAGCGGCCGTTTGAGCTCGTCCTTGGTCTTGAGCCCGCCGCCGACCAGGGTCCATCCGGGCTGGTAGTGGTGCCATTCTGCCGGGTCGACGATGGCGATGTCGTCTTGTGTGAACTTCTTGGTCCAGAGCAGCTGATGGCTGATGGCTAAGCCGGCCGCTCCTCCGCCTACGACAACGATCTTGTGATTTTTGGCGGGGCTGACGGGGAGATCGGACGCTGTTGCGAAGGTCCGATGAGCGGCGGGGATCCACGAACTTCTGGCGGCGCTGACCGCGCGCTTGGCTATGAGATGACTCCCGGCGGCCATGACCACTTTCCCGAATTGCAGTTCTGCTGGTGGTTGTCAAAGAGCACCCGAGCGGAAGGAGCAACCAAACCTGAAAGTGAAAATCACCAATATGGAGACAAAGAAAGCTTCAAACTGCGCCCTGCGCGCTTTGTGCGCAATGCACATTAATGCGACGCTAGATGCGCAAATTAGCGGGTAATTGTGGGCCCATCAGTGGACCCCGACAGGCCCCTTAAGGGTCGCCGACGCCCGGAATCGGAGACATTCCTTCGGCGTTCATGACGCCACCGTGGGCTGACGCCAAGAATGTCTCCGGCGGTCCCGGGGTTCAACATCGCATCGGAGCGGTTCCGCTTCGCCTTGACTACTTTTGGGTGTCATCTGAAAGCGCAGCTTTTAGCAAACGCAGTCCGCGGTTTGGGTGCCCTGATGGATGCTGCAATTCGAATCAGCTAGGTAAATCTGTCACTGCAAAATCATAGTTCTAAAGAGGAAGGAACTACCTCAGTTGTCCTACCGTTCCTACCGGCTGAGTGAATTAGTCAAAGGTACACACGCCAAGGGGCGCCTCCCTCCTTTTGCTCCAGTGGTACGGAGTAAGGGTTCGGTTCCATACCCAACACGACCCAAATCGTGACAACCCTTTTGTGCTACGCTGGTGGTTCCTGCCATTTCAGTCTCAAAACCACCATTATCACCAAAAACTACCACTCCGTCTTGCAACTGCTTTCGGCGGTTCCGCTCCTACGGCTAAACCCTTCTGGACCAATGCACCTACTCCGGGCGCGTCTCTCCCTCCACAAACTTCCAAAATGGGAAACTACGGTCCGCCGGCTTGCTCCTCTGGCCGGGACGGTTCGCGGGCCTAATGCCGTCCCCCTTAGGAGCGGACAAGCCCGCTCTTTCAGTCAACAACCATCCCCAACGACTCTCCTTCTCGGCCGTTCACCTCTTCCTTTCCAAGCCCATCCACCGACCCTGTCCCGCCGTCCGAGTCGCATATCTCCGTACAGCACCACCGTGACCACGCCCCCCTCCCCCACCCAGGAACCCACCATCCACCCGGTCTTCGAACCCACGACATGCACCTACCAGTACGTGGTCGCCGACCCAGCCACCCAGACAGCCGTCATCATCGACCCGGTGCTGGACTACGACCAGTGCACGCGCACCGTGACGACGTCGACCGCCGACTCGCTCATCGCGCTCGTACGTGGGCAGGGATATTGCGTCTCGCACGTGCTCGAGACGCATGCGCACGCCGACCATCTCACCGCCGCATTCTACCTCCAGCGGCGGTTTGCCGAGCTGCAGGAGGGCGCGCGGCCCAAGGTAGGGATCGGCAAGCGGATTGGCAAGGCGCAGCAGCTGTTCGCGGGACGGTACGGAGTTGGCAAGGCCGAGTATGAGGGTGTCTTTGACGTGCTGTGGGAGGATGATGAGGTGTTTAAGGTTGGTGAGCTGAGAGCAAAGGTGCTGCATTTGCCTGGGCACACGGAGGATCATGTGGGGTATTGGATCGGTGGTGAGTCCGATTTTACCACGCCGTACCTACCCACTTCAAGTTGCTGCTGGACATGTGAAGGATGTCGCTAACAAGGGCGACCTGCTTGGCTTGGTTTCTCAGACAACGTCTTCTGCGGTGATTCGCTCTTCCATCCCTCGCTGGGCAGTGCGCGCTGTGATTTCCCCGGCGGCAACCCGCACGCCCTGTACCGCTCAGCAAAGAAGCTCCTGTCGCTTGAAGACCATGTCCGCATCTGGACGGGGCATGACTACCCTGTCGAAGGCAAGCGTGCGCCGGCACCTTGGAGCACTGTCGCGGACCACAAGGAGAAAAATGTGCACCTGCGACACGGCATCTCGGAGGAGGAATTCGTGGCAATGAGGATGGGTAGGGATCGGAGGCTGGCCGCCCCAAGGTTGATTCATGAGAGTTTGCAGGTCAATATCCGGGCCGGGCACGTGCCAAAGGAGCTGAGGGTGCCCGTTCAGGTGCAAGCACCTCTGCTACTCTAAGATAACTGCTATCTTCTCATGTTCCCTCCGAATCTGCCACAGCGATTCAGGGGTAACCACTGGACACGGCAAGGCCAAACGATGTATGGCATCGCCGTGAGACGCAATGACGCCCCGAACCTGTTGTTTTGTGACGCGCAGGGGGCACGAACGGCACTCCAAGGCCACGCGTTCCCACAGGTCCACAACCCGAGGGCTAAGGTCCATCTCCTACGTGCCGCGCCAGGTAACATGGGCATAGTGGCGGTCTGTATGGTAGATGAATGCACACGCGTTTCCCTCCCGGCCGTCCCAGATGGCCAGATCCCGCAGCTTGGGCATACGCAGCGCCGCCGTGCCGGCCAAGTAGAGCAAGGCATCGATACGCTCCCGGTGCCTCGAACCATGCTGGAGGAGCTGCGACGTGAGGGCGAGAGATTCGAGGCGCGGCCAAGTCCAGGACGGCAAGCAGGCGTCCAAAAAAAAACCTCGGCGTTCACCATGTACGACACCGAGAGCTGTTCGAGGTCGCAGCTTCTCGAAGCAAAGGCAGCGCCAATCCGCGGATCCACGACGCGCGCGGCCTCGAACTCGGGCACCCACCCTTGTTCTGCACCAATACCGCAGCAAGGCTGTTGTTGAAATCTTCAAAGACGGAGATCTTCTTGAGGCTTCTGGGAAGATGTTGGACGAAAAATAGAAAACCTGCAACCAGGGATCAGGATCCAAGGGACTGTAGTGAAGGAACTTGACGAGGAGGTCAAAAATGTGCCCACTTACCGCTATCATACCTCTCTCTGGACTCGACATCCCACTGCCGCCACGGCTCGAAAACCAGGTGCTCCACGGCACTCATGTTTCGCAACAGTTCAAGGAGGGAAACAGAGTGAAAGGAGCGCCGGAGACCCCGGGGTATAACGAGGCGCGTGATGCTACCAACTGGAGGAATATCTTCAAATTGTAGGGAGTCAAAGAGGATCGGATGGTTTGGGAAGAGCCGCTGGAAGGCCGTCGCAGGAGGCGGGAGCACCTGTTGGCCATCGATCCAGCCGTGCGCCGGATCGTGCGGTTTGTACTTGTCGTCATTGTCATTGTTGCCATCATCAACCTCAGTTTGGAAATGGTAGTTCTTGAACCAGTGTTCTGAATCGCTGGGAGAATAGGCGTTTAGCTCCAATGTGAGACCGTTTGGAAGTTGGTCACCGGTGGTAAGTGCTTCATCACGCTGCTGCGCAGACTCCCAGGCGCCGAGGATCCGTAATAACTTCGAGATGCCGCTGCTGATCGACAAGTGCTCTCGATTTATCTCGCTGACTGACGTATCTCTGTTGCAGTTTCGGCACGAGTATCTCGGGAACTCGATTTCAAGCAGAATGTGGCGGATGAGGTGCCGATGCCGAACGACCAAACGTTCAAAGTCGTCCAGGCAAGACGGCCGTAACTTGAGCCGACGGAAATTCTCCTGGGCGATTACGAATTGCCACTCCTTGTAGACAGAGGCCAACGAAGCCCAGCCCGCGTGCTTCTGCTGTGCAACCCCCTCTATGATCCTGAGGCGGATCTCGGCGGGCAGGGATGCCCAGGGGCGCGATCTCGCCCTCGTTGAGGCTCTAAGTATCATTCCATGGCGTCGTCTGAAAATGCCGTGTCCGCTCGCCATGGCTGGAAGGAGAAGGAACAGAAGGCTGGAGGATCGGTGGGGGATATGAAGTAGCCTCCTTGTGAATGAGTGTTTGGTAGCCTGTCTCTAGTAACAATCAAGGATGGAACACGTCCAGTGATCGAGTTCTGGTGGTGGTCACGAGTGACCTGTGAAGTAGACCGAGTGGTTCGAACAGAAAGACCAGACGAGAGAGGCTAAGGGGCTCCAAAGGGAGCCGGCCAAGCATCCTGGAGCACTCGCTGGCTATCATAGCGTTGGGTACTACTAGGTAGTGGCCGTCTGGTCCCACCCTCTGCTAGTAGCCGGACTTGGTGCCTCAAGCCTGTTTGAGGTGTGCTGCACGTGGTCCGCCGGTGCCAGTGCGTGGCCAGGCCGTGCACCCTACATGTACCTAAGGTATGTGGAGTGGGAAAGAGGAACCCCGGAGAAACTTGTATTTGTTTGAGCTCTGGGGCTTGGCTCTTTTCCCTCCTGTAACCCCCCTCAAACCTGCTTTGGCCTCCAACCTCCAACCTCTTTACAGTCAATACAACCACTCTTTAGCTGTGCCTTTCAACACTCGGTTAGCCCCACTAGAGACCATAGAAGGACGCCCTGCGGTCCCTGCCCTATTTCCTCAGATTTCTCAGCCACTAACAGGATGGGAGTCACCAGACACACCCCCCTTAGGTAGACACAAACAAGTAATCCCTTTCAGTAAGAAAAGGGCTAGTAAGTCCCATTCACCCACGGTCTCCAAAGCCTCTCCACGGCCTCTGGAAACTGGAATCCATCCCACGTGGCGTTCAGCAATCCCCAGCTATCCCTAGCCCCCTGAACCCCTGAAAGAATCCTATACGTCCCCGCCAGACTCCACATCATCCACGGCACCCTATTTCTCACGGTATACTGCCGCAGACAGTTCACCAGCGTATCGTTCAAAAGTCTACCATCCTGCGGTCCTCCAACCTCGGACAACACCACCGGCGTCAGCCTCTTTGCCGGCAAACAGTCACCACCGGTGATATTGCACGCCGCCGGCGGCGCGATCCCGAGGGCATTCATCCCGCTCCTGTACAGCCCGGCCTCAATGACCCTGCACGATCCCGTATCCATGTCCTCGCTCGCAGCATCTAGGTGCAGTTCCCAAACCACCTTGTCCGCCCAGGGGTGCTGGGACAGGTCAAACACGACGGGCTCACGACGATACGCATCGCGGATGGCGCTGCACCGGTAGCAGGGCGCGGTCAGGAGGTTCTCCTTACCACGGGTCACGAGCGCGGACACGTCTTGCCCAAACCCCATGCCGGACCAGGTCATGAGCAGGTTGGGGTTGACGGCGTGGACGGCGTCGGCAGCCATTGTCATGTTGCCGGCCAGGTTGAGCCAGTTGTAGCCCAGCTCTGCGCGGTTATTCACATTGTCGGCAGTTGAGGACCAGCTCTCGCGCGGCTCGTTGCGCAGCCCGATGCTGAGCACGTTGGTGTGGTTGCTCGCCCAGCGCGCGACAAAGATTAAACCGCGTGTCCAGTTGGCTACGGGGAAATGGGTGTCGCCGAACCACGCATTGCCGTCCACGTGCGAGCAGCACCCGCCAGCCCGGGACACGTGCGCGTCCGGGTGAATCAGCAGCCGTTTGCCGGCGGCGATGCGCGCAATGTCGGTCCAGATCTTGAGAATGCCCGTTTGGTTGGTCCAGATGGGGTTGTTGCGGAGGATCCCGGCGGCCACGGCGCTGCCGTTGGCCGGCCCCAGGGCTTGAGACAGGATGGTTGGGAAGGGGATGTCGGTTTGGTTGTTGGCGTAGAGGGTGTCTATCATCTGGATCGCGAACGGCCTAATGTCAGGAGATGGGATGTGTTAAGCCCACATCTAAGCGCTTGGGGGGGCTAGATGAGGACGCACATCCGAATGATGTTGAAGCCGACGCTGACGACCCGGTCTAGGATGGATTGCACCGAGGTGTACTCGAGACCTTCGGGAATCATGGACTCGCCGTGTAGAGGCCTACGAGAGTATTTCAGTCATCCGCTTACTCCAACCGTCGCCCTGTTACTTCACCAGGACGTCCACATCCATGATCCCCTAGCCCGCATACATCAAAGGGGTGAGGTGGGAAACACTCTGGCCATACACACCAGTTGACGCCGGCCCAAGTCACGTTCATGCCGCGGGCATCGATGATCTCTCGGCCCCTGGTGCGGTAAGGGCCATATGGCCAGGCGGTGACATTCTGCTGTCTTGCGACAACTTGAACCTGAGACTGCTCTGCGGTATGATGAGGGAGCACGGGAACGCGCCAGGCAGAGGCCGTAACGCTCGCCGTGGCCATGGAAAGCAGAAGCAGGAAAAGCATCTCGACGAGTAGTACTTTCAAGGAGGCAGCTTGGCCGTAGAAGCACGGGACTCGGATGGCCGCAGTCGTTGAGCGTGGGAAGGGACAAGCATGCGGTCAATTGTTGGGTGCTCCTGGCATGTGAGACACCATTCTTCACCTCCCCTACCGATGCCGATGTCTCTTCCTGGACCCGCATTTTGCCATCACATCACTTACACAGTAGTTGACTAGCGGTAGGAAAGCCGGTAGTTCCCTGTGTGGCAAGTCCACTATACGACGGACGGAAAAAGAAGCCAAGCCTGGTATTATCCGAATTGTCCGTGACGCATCTCGGCAGTCGCTTCGAGCCGTGATCCGAGGTGGGTTGCAGGCGTCTGGTGGTATCGGGTCTTCTCCGCACATGGGGGTAGGGGTTTCCAGTCCAGTACCTATCTATTTAGTACAAAGCCGTCTAGTTCGCCAGTAACTTATTTTGGCATTCCTTGACTTGGATTGCCGCTTTGATATCGATATCATTGACGCAGTCTGCGGCATCCACGACCAAGATCTCTTACGACGATTCCTATCGTGGCTCTAGACTTCCTTAGTAGCATCTCTCAGCCTCTCAGGAATGTGCTTTCCTGCGTCTCTGAATCACCAGGTTGGGAAGATTCATGGAACTCAAATTTGGAATACGAGATCCAGCATATAGCTGCCATTTCTTCCTCTGGCTGTATTGTAGAGAACATAACGGACCTGACCGATACCAATAAGAGCCCAGTGCGGTGTTGTTCCAACATGGATCGCAACATAACTTACTGGATCCGAGTAAGCGTGGCGGAACTCAGCCGCATGAAACTTCTAGTAATACTACCGGTTACTAGTATCTAATCGCTGAGTCTGTCGCGCCAAGTATGCTGCTTGAGTCTCGCATACCGGGGCAATTTCAGCCCGGTGATGCAACCTACCGTATCTGGGTAAGGTAGGCTGTTCAATGTTATATAAGATCTCACTTCATGGGTTAGGTACCTTGGTTTGAAAGTTTCGTCTTAGCTTTGAAGTCGTGTTTCTCCATCCCTAGTTGTTGAACAACAAAGAGAACATACCACACCTGCGACCTCAAGGGAGCAGGATACCAGCCCGACTGCAACCAGAATGTATTCCCCGTCCAGACTAGCCAGCTACCTCTCGGCGCTGCTCCTCCTGGCTCACGCCCAGGAAACATTCGCACAAACGAGAACAACAAGCGGCATCGTCGTCGTTCCGACACCTCTGGATTGGGACGCCGCCTACGCTCGCTGTCGTGAGCTCGGCCGCGGCATGTATCCCGTCCCCGCTACCCCGACAGACCCGGTTTTCGCCTCCATCAAAGACCAGCCTGGGGACATATTCTGGATTAGTCGGAGGAGAGGGGGTTCATGCACATGCCTGTTCAAGGAACCAAACGGCGGCGACTTGGTGGGAGAGCTCCCATGCGGTGACCTGTTGCCCGCCGTTTGCTATTAGATGGATTGAACTTGGAGCAGGTGCGAGGGGAGAGGGGACTCGTCAACTTCATCAAGGACGCACACGTCTTTGACACTTGCCGTTGCTCGACTCAAGAGCGAGAAGATTCGGATCATGATTCCAGGCATGTTGGACACTGGCACTATGGAGTATAGGTGGAGATCGCTGTTCACCATGAGCAAGGCATGCATATACCGAATACAGGGCCTTCTATTCACCACAGTTCCCAAACAAGTACTACTCAATGATGGTATCATACTTCTAAAACATGTAACAACTACTACTAGGATTACTGCAGCCGAATGAAGGAGAGAAAAAGACGGCTTATAAAATATAATAAACTCATATACCCTGCCAAGCCATCACTCAGTCCCCTCTACTGCGGATGCGGATGCGGTGGTGGTGGTGCCTGTCCCTCCATGCCCGGCGGCGGTGTGTGCATGGGCGATGGGGCCGTTGGCGGGTCCGTCTGGTTGGCCGGCGACGGGGATGGGGAGGGGATATGTTGTGGGAATGACTGCTGTAGTGGTGGTTGCTGCTGCTGCTGCTGCTGCTGCTGCTGCTGCTGTACGGGCGGCGCTAGCCCCGGTGCGGGAGCGAACTGTGCCAGGTACGCTGGCTGTGTCGACTGTACCTGACCCGGGTTCATGTACCCCTGAGGAGGAGGCATGTGGTATTGCTGGACCGGTGCTGGCGCATGTTGCTGCGCATACATGCCGCCGGTGGTAGGGTATGGCATGTACGCCGGTTGCTGCGGTTGCGGCTGTGGCTGGAACTGCTGGTTGACCTGGGTCGTCTCGGAACCGCCATCATCCCCGCCACCGGGCTTCTCCCCCATCACCGGCGGCGGCGGCGCGAACATCGCCACTGCCGGATTGTTCCCGTCCGGATTCCCTAGCAGCTCGACGGGATACTGCCAGGTGAACAGCCCCCACTTGAACCACAGCTTGAACCGGGTCCCCGCGGGGAGCGTGGCCCAGTACTGCCGGAGGAGAGCCTGGTCTTCGGGGGTCCTGGCTTTCTGGACGCGCGTGAGGAACGCGAGCCACAGTTGGAGAAGGCACCAGCAGATGGTGCCCACGCGGAGCGCGCTCTGGCCCAGCATCATCCTGCGAAACCAGAAGTACGATTCGATGAAGCCAAGCACGAAGATGGTCGGGAGAATGGTGGCCACGACGATGACCCACGTCGCGAGCGAGGCGCAACTCCCGCCGCCTAGGCTGCTGCAGCGGTCAGAGAAATACGCAGCGAAGTCCTCGTCGTCGTCGCTGCTGCTGGATCCGCTGCTGCTCGAGCCGGTCGCGGTGGGCGAGGACCCTCTTCGAGTGGTTGTGGGATTGCTGCAGCTTCGGACGTAGGCTGAGTAGAGGTAGGCCGTGCTTGAATCGGTGTACATGCTCGACGGCACGGCAGTCGTGGCCAAGAACAACGATACCCATGTGTAGGTGCTGTAGGTGCTTACGGACGTTGACGTGGGCGTGAGCAGAGGTGTGACGACCGAGGGAATGTCGGCTGACGTGAACGTCTCTACCGTGAACTGGGTTGGGCAAGAAGCCGGTGCTGTGTATGTGACAGGCACAACGTAGCTGATGAAGGTGTCGTAGGTGTAGGCGTACGTTGTCGTCGTGACCATGTCCGAAGCCGGAACCGCGCCTGAAGGGAGGAACAGCTTGACAATGGCGACGTCGGTTTCATAGCGGCTCGTAGAAGTGGTTGATGAGGTGGGTGAAGCAGTCGGGGTCACAGTGGGCTCAACCTGATAGGTGTAGGTGTAGCTGTAGAAGCGGCAGGTGGTGGTGCATGTCTCGATCGCTTTCTCGCTCGACACGCTCTCGACATAGTACTGCGTAACAGTCCAGAAGCTGGCCACAGCGGGTTGAAGTTGGACCAGCAGCGCACCGAAGACTGCCAGGCGGCCCATCACTTGTCTTGTTGAAGCCATGGCGACTGGGTGGCGTCCGGACTAGGGATGATCGCGATCGATACCCCAAGGTAATGTTCGACGCCGTTCGCAAATCGCAACGCCCATGGCGAGCAGAGGCGCGGGGCGGGCGCCCGCCATTTGTCTTGCCAGGTTTTATTATTGATCTTCTGGCGTTGCAGCGCTACTAAGATTATCTGCAGGGTACACGCAATCTACCCCGGGCTAGTCATGGGGCTGTCGTGAGATTCTCTCGGCAAGGTGATGAGAGCTTCGCTTCAACCGTCTCACGAATTGAGCTCGCTAACAGAGCATCGCACATGTTGCTGGAAAAATTGTTAGGCTGTGCCTCCTTGGCAAGGCTCTGATAACTGCTTATCTGGTTTGAGGTGGGCTGCGCTAAAGTGCCAAGATCTGACTACAAAACATCTCACGCCAATCAGGGGCAATCTCCGCCTCCTCACTGCGGGGTGGCCGCTGTAATGCGGCTCAATTCTTCGCCGACTGACTGGGCGGGTAATTTTTTCAGGGGTTCGCAGCACGCTGAACACAAGCAGGGGCGTCAGGGACTGACAAGGAAGGAAGCAACCTGGCATCCGACGATGCGGCTCCTTCCTCACTTTGGCAGGCTCGGCAGGTAAACTCAAAAATGATGGCATGCATTTTCGTGGCAGCTGCCCACGGCGCTTTTCGCCCGAAACTTTCACAAATTGGACAGCAGAAATTGGAGTCTGCATGACTGCCAGGAGCATCATTTGAACAGTCCGGCTAGGCGAGCTTGAAGAGCCGATGAGCAGAGCCTTACAAACCCCACTACTACTCATGTAGGGCAGAAAAGCTGAGATAAGGTACGATCCCTCATAAAAGGTAGGTATTGTACCTCAGTACCCATATTGGCGCCGGATGCTACTATCAAACCAGATGACTAGGTGCTTTTGTCAAAGAGACCGCCTAGGTATGAAGGTAGCTTAGGCAGGCTGTTTGGGCACAAACGACAATGGAGGCGACGCCATGGTCGCTCAAACACCCACGGTATTCCCAGGACAGGTAATTGCCCAGTTCCATCGGAACGTCCCGTTCTTCAGTTGAAGAAGAAACAGGCAAGGTATGGCAAATAACTTACACTATGTTGATGCCGCTTCAACGTACTACCGGTCCTTTGCTATTTAAAAGACGCATAAACCCTTTCTCTCCTCTGTTATTCTCGTCCTCTTGTTTTGGAAACACTCGAAACCCTACCAACTCGACAACCATTCAGTGACAGCCAGTTGAGAACATCGCAACTTCCACAACCTACTTAACCAAGTCAACCCTGCGAATCCCACACAGGGTGAAAATGCCACGCTGGGGAGGGATGGACAACTGCCCCAACCCGTGGCGGCCGGGTAACCCGGTCTACAGCCACGATATCGCGCCGTATCTCCGGGTAATGAAGAAGGAGCTCTCCTTCGAGAGCCGCAAAGAGCTAATCAAGTGGCTTAGGTCGGAAGAGGTTCGCCCGTGCTGGCACGAGTTCAGGCGGGACTACCTTCATCATCACCAGATGATCCTCCGCGACGAGAAGCCATGGGAGCCATGCCCGAACTTCACCGAGGACTTCTTCTCTGTCGAGACTGGCGCGGTCAACATCATCCTGAACAGCCCCCTCAGTATGGCCCGGCTCAGAAGGGACGCTAAGCGCGGCGACAAGAGCCAGTGGACCGTTGAAGCGCACGTGGCCTGGTTTGTATCCAGGCTATACCACCGCGCTTGGAACCATGGCCGCGACTCCCTGAGCCGGGATTCTAGGGATCGGAATCCGCTGCCGTTCTGGCATCCCCGCTGCTTCGGCCAGAGACCTTCGCTCCTTACGGACGAACTGAAAGAGGTCTTGGTCTGTTTGGTGCTGATCGACATTCGGCAGCCAAACTGGATTTATAACGGTGAGGATCCCGATGACATTGATGACGAGGAAACCTACGGGGCCCAGTGGGCTTCGATGCGTGACCTCGAGAGAGCGAGGGAGGGACGACGCTAATGGTTAGGTAACTAGGACTTGTGCGATTACCGGCCACTTATGCATCCGGTCTGGTCTGGACTTCGCACACAAATGGAGTCCGGAGGAAGAGGAACTGGGAAGGCGAATAGGGGCAGGGGTAAAGGAGGGCACAAGAAGGGCGCAAAGAGGGCGGGTGGGAGTTGATAGGCCTAATACATTCTTTGCCCAGTGCCTACCTTACTTACCTACCCTAGGTAGGTACGTAAGTACCTTAATTAGCATACCAAATCAAGCATTACTCTGCCTCACGACCGTAGTAACAGGTAACCTAATACTTAAAGTGCCCCAGTGCTACCATACTCTCACGATACCGACCACATGATGGTAGGTAGCCATGCTGTATTCCATAACTGAAGTAGTGGATTTATACATGTAAGTAGGTGCATACTCGGTACTAGTCATTGCCAATATTTTGGCCGTTATAGTTGTAGCCCAATATCCAGCCACTGCCGTGCCTTCAAGGACGTCGAGAGGGTGATTGCTGAACTTCACGGAGTGTACGGAGGCGGTGGGCCTGGCGGCGGTGGGCCTGGCAGCGGCGACGTCGGACTAGGCTGCGGACCCAGACCCGGGCCAGGGGCCGGCGGTTTAGTCTCTGCACCTCCTTCTCCATGATCTGCACCATCAGTACATGTACCATCACTAACGTAGTTCGTTCCACCCCTGATCCCACCCGCGGTCCTCCCCATGCCAGAGCCCTCAAAAGCCCTCCTTATCCTTCCAAAATCCGCCCTGTCCCTCCTCAGCGTCCTCCCGCCCCTGGCAGCCTCCCACTTAACATCCCCTTCTCCGCCGTCTCCAACCCAGCCCAAGCCAAGATCCTTCCACACCCACATGCGCACCGTCACCTCCCTGAGCCCCTCCACAAACTCCATGCCGAAATCCGTGTAGCACATGCCGCAGGACATGTTATTGTTGTTTCCCTGACCAGGAGTTTGACTCTCGGCCTCTTCGCTCTTCCAGACCCCCTTGATCTCCTGCCCGAGAACATTTTTCAGGGCGTAGTCGATGCGCACCGTGCGGACGTACTTCCTCTCCTTTCTCGGCGAGGAACTGTCGCAGGAGGATTTAAGGCGCACGCTGTGGAACACGCGGGTGCAGTGCGGACAGGGGCTGAAGCCGCGGTAGAAGGGCGACGCGAGCCAGTTTTTTGAATAGGAAAGGTCCTGCGGCGGGTTGCCGTTCCAGCCCTTTTCGGGGAGGGAGATTGGAAAGGTCAGGGTGTAGCGAACAAGGAAGGTCTTTTGTTGAGTTTGGTTGGGGTCGTTGGTGGTGACGGCGGTGGGAGGGGATGGGAATGGGCATAGGCAGACGAGAGGGGTAATGGACCAGGTAAGTGCTGGGTAGAAGAGGACAGCCCTGGAGGGCGTCGTGCCGTGGCAGGTGAGCAGCTGGAGCACGTTACTACCCAGAGTCGCGCTGGTTGCTTCGTGGACGTGGTACGGTGCAAGCGAGTATGGGACTGAAGGGTGGACCCGCGGCAAGGGAGTGCAGGTTTGGGGAGTCTGCGACAGCGAGGAGGTTATGGGCGGCAAGAGGAGTGATGGGTTGGGAGCTGCGTCGGCGTTGGGTTTTTGCTTCCCAGTTGCCCGTTCGAAGAGTGACTTGAAGTTGAGGATATTGGCAGAGGCAGGCTTGCAGCTGGATGGCAGTTGCGCAAAGAAATGTGGAAGGTTGTCCGGGTTGTGCGCCGCGCAGCCGTCGTCCGGGCCGTGATAGCACGGCAGATTTCCACCCCACCGCTTACTTGTTGCTGTTGAGGCAGTGACGGCACCTCGGGTCTCGCTCATGGCTAGGGTAGCCGCCGGGCGTTGATTCCAATGGTCAGGGGAAGAAGACAAGCCAATGCGTGTGCTATGGAGACCTGCCCCGCTTGTCTGAGATGAGCTGTGAGGAAGAGAGAGATGGCCAGAGAGGCTCTGGAAGGCAAACCTTTATAGGTAGGCTTGCCTGGCCTGGAGGTGAGGATGTTCGCTCCCGGTGGCTGGGGCAAAGAGCTGCAGGAAGCTCTAGTGGTTGTAATGCCCTTAGAGCTGTAGAGAGCTGCAGGGAGCCTGTGGGAGCTCTGAGAGCTATGAAGAGCTCCAAGAAGCCCTGGCGACCTGGCCCCACCAACAGACACATCCCGTGGCCCCGCCGTCAAGCCGGATCGGTTCACCGGACACGCTAAATTTCAGCACCTTACTTTTCACCGTCAATCGCGCTCAAAAGCTGGCGTTGCTTGCTAGGGGCCGCGTCATGGATATATATTCTTTGTCGTGCCAAGGGATGGGGTCTAGACTATTGACTCTCAGCCACCAAGCACTCAAATCGCAAAGCACCGCGCTTAGCTGCTGTTCCGCCCACGTGTCTGAGCAAGCTTCCGCTCCCGCCAACACCAGCCGACGACGAAAGCAACGCCAGGCCCAAAGCATGCTAAAGCAATGGGCAACAGAGCCGCCGCAAAGAACGCGTCAGCTCCCGCGAACCCCAGTCTGCACAGGTCGACAAACTGACACAACAGCCACAAGAAGCAGGCGCTGAACGCGCAGACCTGGTCGACCTGAAGTGCCCGCCTGCTGTGGAGAGTCAGGTCCTCCTGCGTCTCCCAGGAAGGCAAAAAAAGCTCGGCCGGCGAGTACGGGGCAAGGACCAGGGTCGCAATCCAGACGGCGGCTGAGATGGTGCAGAGCACTGTGAGAAGCAAGCGGGGCTGCGCGAGCGGGAATCGCGCAAACAGGTTTCCCGCGAGCAGCGTGCCGACAAAGTTGGCGATACCGATCCAAAGCGGCGACATCTGCCAGGCGAAGATCCAGTAATGGCGCGCCACGAGGTCTGAGGATAGGTACGCGGCGAACACTTCGAGGTTGTGCAGCACCAGCATCAGAGGCAGCAGAAGGCCGACCCACTTGGTTTGCACCGTCCGCAGGAAGTTGTCGCTGCCCGCAATATCTGCCGTCGTGGGCCCGAAGACGAGGGAGAGGAAGTAGACGAAGGGCGCGACGGTGCCGATGCCCAGGCGCTGCGCTCCAAAGGTCCAGAGGGTTGCGCTGCGCGGTGCTGCGGTCAGTTCCGAACCTCCCGTATGTACTGTACTGTACATACGCAATTTACCCGACTAGTACTCCGTAGCACCAAAGAACTGGGCATCTGAACTCACAAATACGCAGGCGACCAGGCGTTTCCGATGCGGGCTGCTTCCAGGTACCAGACAGCGTACATGGGCCCCAGATCAGTCAGGAAGGACATCATCTGCCACCAGCCAATCTCGTCGTAGCCCAGCGACGAGGGCGCAAAGGTGATGGAGGCGGCGCGCCACATGTGGTCGAGCGGCTCGATGCCGTAGAAGGTCTCAAAGACCTTAAGAGAGCCACCGGGCCATTTGATGGCGCCCTTGTCAACTTTCATGACTTGTTCCTCGAATTTGATCAACTTGTCAACGTCCATCTCCTTGACGCAGATCAAGACAAGCGCGGCAAAAGGCGCGGCGAGGAACACGCGCCCGATTCTGGACAGCACGGATGCCATCGAAATTGGTGTCACGATCGGCGTTCGGAGTGCAACTCTGCAGTGACAACTCTGGCGTGGCCGTGTGGGTGTCGTCAAGGTGCGTTCTAGTTCCAGCCCTTTAGGAAGAGTTTAGATGGAAACGAGACAAGAATTTGAGATATGAGGATATCGCACGTTCGGGACTGTCGGACATTCCAGTCCCTGGTGTGCGAAGGAGCGACCAAATTTATTGTTGCTTACCGCATAATACCGCTATGTAGTTGGCAGGCACGAGTGCGGCGTGGCTGACACTGACCGCCAGTAGGGATGGCGGTTTTTGACAAACGACAGTGATTTACAGTAGTCGGTCTCCCACACTTATTTTTAGCGACATTTTCCATCTTCAAATGGCCATATATCGTTTGATTACATCGTTTGGTCGCCGACTTCCTACCTCCAGCCGTCTTTTCCGACTGTACATTGCCCGCCTCAGGTATCTTCGTCTGCCGAAGGCCTTGGCAAGCACTCAAGTATACTTGCAAGCAAGCTAAATATGCGATAGAAATAAGCAAGTAACATGAAGCCAAGATTTGAGAGCGTTACTTGACTTACTTGACTTATTCGGAGCGCTGCATAGAAGTGTCCCAGAACCTTTGGCTGCCCACAAAACGGAGCAATTATGGGATATTGATTGCATTCGCATTCAATACTAGCTTGCACCCCTACCCGACGTTGTCTTTGAGCCGGATGTGCAGGGAGAAACCATGACCCCGTGGCCTATATGTGAGTTCTCGACCTAAAAAGCTCCTCTTGCTAACTGCTTTCCAACTGCTCGCAACATGAACCTGAGCCATCGCCTACATACCTAGGTACTAGTGTACGAGCTGATCGCTGGATTTCGCTGCTCAGAGTCGGAGTCCCGTGTCCGAATCGTCCAGAGACCGCCATGGCGCTCGCTCTACCCCCTGATACCTGAGTGACCTCACACATGCCGGGGCGCATCGACTGGACTTTCTTCCTGGCCGGGCTATGTGCGTGTTCCCAGCCGCGTCTAGACCCAGTAGCATCTAGTACTACCTACTGGTAGTACAGGCACTATCTCCTCTATTATATACAAGATCCTTGCATAAGGTATGGTCTCACTCCCGTTCTCACCCGTGCGGGGTTGACAGAAAATACCACCAGCTGTCATCTGGTAGTAACCTTGATTATAAGTGATCCTCGACGGAAATATGACGGATGGATCGCCACACAGACGATGGTTGAGGTTATCTCCCCAGCGACCCTTCCTACACATCTCCCTCGGAAGACACGGGAGCTTGCAGAAGGCGGCTGTGATGCTCGATAGCGTGGCACAGGGACTGACTGGCTGTCGACGTGGCGCCAAATTGACCGACACCACTGGGTTCGATCCTAATCCAAAGCATACCTGGTAATCTTCGCGGTTACTTCAGCTCCTGTCGGCTTGACGATACCAACACGCCATTCGTGTGTGCCCATCTCAGAGTATGCTGCCTGAAAGAGATGTGGACGAGGGTGGCAGAGAGAAGGGGGTCGAGTCCATTCAGGACTTATCCTCGGTCGAGGCCACCGCACTCGAGGACATCGACACCAAACGTCTGGAGCGGAACCTGCTTAGGAAGTTGGACACCAGGTAACCTTTTTCCATTTTCACAGAGTGCTTTCACAGGCAAAGCAAACAACTTGAACTAACCGGTTCGAACTTGAACAGAATCCTGCCGGTCTTCGTCTTGCTCGTCCTCTGTTCGTTCCTCGACCGCACCAACGTGGGCAACGCAAAGGTCTACAACATGAACAAGGAGCTGGGCCTGTCCGATCTGCAATTCCAGCAGGGCCTAGCCGCCTTCTACCCGCTCTACATTGCCGCCGAGATCCCCAGCAACCTTGTGCTCAAAAAGGTCACGCCCAGGATATGGATCGCCCTCATGACATTCCTCTGGGGCCTCATCTGTTTGTGCCTGGGCCTGGTCCACAACTTCCACCAGTTCATTGCTCTGCGCACCCTGCTCGGTCTGGCTGAGGGCGGCCTCTTCCCTGGCATGGTTCTGTACCTGTCGACCATATATACCCGCTCCGAGCTCGCCCTCCGGATTGGCGTCCTTTACACCTCCACTTCGCTCTCTAGTGGGTTTGGAGGGCTCCTGGCACGCGCGATGGGCGCTATTGGTAACCGCGGGGGCCTCACTGCGTGGCGCTGGATCTTTGTCATTGAGGGCCTGTTCACCGTGGTGTGTGCCGTGTTTACGTACATCATGCTGCCCAACGCACTGGACACGGCTAGCTTTTTGACGGAAAAAGAGCGCGACCTCGGCATAGCACGACAAGCCGGCGTTAAACATGGCACCAGAAGCAAGGAAGGCAGCGAGAAGTTCTCCTTGTCCGAGGTGGGCAGAGCCTTCAAGTACCCCCTGACCTGGCTGACGGCTTGCGCCTACTTTGCTCTCCTGTCTGCCATTTACTCAATCGGAGTGTTTTTGCCTACTATCATTGTGAGGCTGGGCTACACGGCCAACGACGCACAGCTGATGACCGTGCCGCCGTACGGTGTGGCGGCCATCATGACGCTCGTCGTCGCTTTTGTCTCTGACCGCCTCAAGGTCCGGGGCATCATGATGCTCTGCACCATGCCCGTCGCCATCATCGGCTACGCCGTAATCGCCAATGTCGGTGACGACAAGCCTACGGTCAAGTACGGCATGACCATCATGATGGCCACAGGCATCTACAGCAGTGTGCCGCCTGTGCTCGCGTGGCTGTCCAATAACTCGGCAGGGCACTACAAGCGGGCCACGGCTGCCGCTCTGCAGCTTGCGATTGCAAACTGTGGAGGGATTCTGTCCGTGTTTCTCTACCCCGACAGTGATGGTCCTGTCTTCTACCGGGGGCACACTGTCATTCTGGGGCTCTTGATTGCTGGGTGGTTCTTGCAAGTTTTACCCCTTTTCCTACCACCCTTCAGTTTCTCCCGCCTCCATCCTACAAGAGTCAGGCTAACATTAATTTAGCATCTTGACCACAGTCCTCGTCTGCTCAAAGATAAATAGGGACAAAGCACAGGGAAAATATGACAAATACATTGGGTACGGCGACGATAGAGAGCCCAGCTTCAGGCTGGTGCTGTGACTTTTGTCCGGTGTATCATGGGGAATCGCTGGACAGTAAGTAGACTGAAAGAGGCTGATACACTTCGATGAAACGGAAGAACTTCCTTTCTTATGTCCTTTCACATGGATAGTGCAATGCACCTCACCCTCTGCTGAAAGTATGCGCATTACACTTAGTTCATAGAAGCCCCTGAATCGGTTGACATGAGGGTATTTCCAAGCCCCCTCATTCTCGTCAAGTTCATATCGCCGTAGCCCACTCAGGAAACATCTCCTCGCTAATCGGCGCCGACGCCTCGTCCCGGTCCCGGATATACTCCTCCAGGGCAAGACATTGATGCTGGCTCCTCTCGCCCATCTCAACCCCCCGTTTCTGCACAAACCTCGCGTACCCCATCGTTTTCTGCTTCCACTCGTCCCTCGTCACCTTCCCCGCAACATAATCTGCATAGAGCATGGCATCGTAAGCCGCCTGCGACGTTGACGCAACTGTGTGCGGCCTGAACCCGGCCAGCGCGTCCCCGACGAGCACCACCTTCCCGTCAAGAAACTCGTTCGCCGGACTAATCACGTCCGTAACGGCTTGCACAAACGGCCGTTTGGCCTTGCACACGACCTCAGCGAATTGCGGCGGCAGCCGCGCCCGCGCAATCTCCTGCTGCTGTGCCCACGCCGCTGGGTTGATCAGCCCGGGTGGTAACGTCAGGCGGTGCCGCTTGCCGTGGCGGTCTGTCATCAACTCTTCCAGCTTGGGGGACCCCGCGGGGAAGTTGGTGTAGTACACGAAATTGATTAGCCGCTGGCCCGGTTCCAATGTCCCGTGCTGACCGGGGATCAGATAAGCGAGAATTTGGATGCCTGGGCCGTGGTAGAAGGTGAATGTGTTTGTGAAGGTTGCTTGGGCTGCCGCGCTGGCTTCGTGCTCGACCACGGTGCCCCGCAGCGCGCAGTAGCCGGCGTAGGTTCGTTCGAGTCCAGGACAGAAGAGTGAGCGGATAAGGGAGCTGGGGCCGTCGGCGCCTACGAGCCGGTCAGCGGACATGGTGCCGGTGATGGAAGGGTTGCTTGTGCATTTCCAGGATACGCGGACGCCGTTGCCGTCGGGGTCTTCCGTGACACCGGTGACGGTGCGGTTGTGCAGATGCACGGCTTTCCCGTGGCGTGGGTCAGGGGGAGGAACATCGCAGTAGGGGCTTGCGAGGCCGTCGTAGTTGGCGCGCATGAGGTGGTACGTCAGATCCCACGAGCTCATGTCGTGGTTTGCGTCTACCGTGTGGACGATGTTGCCGTCTTTGTTCAGATACTGTCTCTTGTTGGAATGGATGGCGATATCCTGTCGCTGGCAGCGGTTGTACCGCTCGAGAAATTCAAGAGCGTGGCCACCGGCTACAATCCCGGCGCCCTGGTCGTGTAGCAAAGGCGTTGGGTTTCGTTCGAGTATGGTAGTGTCATGCCCCAGCGCCTTGAGCGCAATGCCGGTAGCCAGGCCCCCAAGGGAGCCACCAACCTGGGTGTCGTTGTATGTCAGCATGCTTGTGCCAGGTCGCGGCCTCTCGGCTTACAATTACGAAATTCATTTTTTCGAGCGAGTCCATTGTCGTTTCGTTGGCGGCTGTCATTTCTGTCAAAGATAAGATACCCTACTATTCAGGTGCGGGTTAATCAAGGGAACACTTCGGGCGCTGTTGATTGATGCGGTCATATGGTGGCTGCAACAGAACGGCGAAAGAAACTAGGCGAGCATTGTAACTGAATGCATAAGTAATCGAGTTGGAACGAGTATGATTACATATCTGTTGGGAGTGCAACCTTATGCTGTTGGGTCATATTACCTCAGGGGCTCAGGGGCTCGTACTCGACAGAACGCCATGTTTAGCCCTAACCCTGAAGCCCTAACCCCTGAACAACAGCGATGCACAAAGTTTAAGCGTAACTTGCTGCGGTGACCTGAATCTTGACTCGCGTGTTTCAACTGAGATGTTAGTACCTTAGGTACATCAAAGTTATCGTTTGCTACGTTACCTTGAACGCGGGAGTTGGAGGGGCGCGGAAGTATCTGGCTCAGGGTTAGGGGTAGACAATGGAATAGGGGGAACCTGAGCAGTCGTTCTCGGGCAAGCACGTCGCCCAGCAGCTCGTGGTTTATATCGGTGCATCTCTGTCCTAGGTACCATGAACCGGTGGGTCATCTTATACAACGTCTTTTGCGTCTTGTGGAAGTACCTTAGGCTTGTTCGGCGCCCTTCCTACTTCATCTCCCACTGGCACTGGCAACAATAAGTTGAATCTACAGTACCTTCCCCCTCGGCAGTCAACTAGCTGCATGTAGCTACCTAGGTACCGTACCTTACCCAACCTTCCAGGATCGTTTATCTCCCAATCTTGCCGGCCGCCACTCCTCGACCGCAGCCGAGCAGTGGGCAATCTACCTTGTTCCCGCGCAAAGCTGCAGTCGATGACAAGCCTCCGGCACGGGGTGTAGCAGCACTCATTTAAACACGACAAACATGGATAATCTGCGGTCCATGTATATACGCGCTTTGCAACAAACCCGGTATAGCGGCAACCAAGCGGGGATGCCGGTTGGCGCGTGCGGGCCATTTAAATCTCTTCAAAAGGGGGTGTTTAGATCGATTTAGCCAGAACTTGCAAAAAGGACACTCCCAACTTATCTGGGCCCGCGTCTGAACACCGGATTTTTTATAGGACAAGACTCGACAATTATCCTGAGCCTGCGCTTTGCTGCCAAGGTCGGCAGTAATGGCCAAGTTATTATACTTTCACAACATGAACCTGAAGGTTCATGTTCCCACGCTGCCGGTCCATGTGCCCCTCCGTTATGCCGCGTACGTAAGGTATCTAGCCAAGGGATCTTCCCCAGATTCAATTTAGAATTAGATGCACTTCGGAGCACTGCCGAAAATGGGGCCGAGTGACGGCCGCATGGGAAGCCTACTCAATCCCGTGCGTCTGGGCGGATTATGTGGATGAATGTGTGCTGCCATGGGTTAAACATGCCTGTATCTGTTATCCCATGTCCATTTTTCCATGGGCCTCCTCCCCTTTTCTTTCGTTCTGGCATTCTCCTTTCCGCCCTTTGCGAGGGTTGGTGATGGGAGCGCTTTTGTGATCATGTCTTCAACGAATAGTACAGCACCACCCACAAGACCGGCAACACTCGAACCAGCTACAAGTAACACCACGTCTTTCTTGACCATCATCTGCGTTGTCTGGAGTTTGGCCTTCATAACCGCGCTGGTCCGCTTCTACGTGCGTGCCATCCTGGTGCGCTCCTTTGGCAAGGATGATGTCTTTATGGTGCTGGCAGTGGTGAGTTCCAGTCCCTAGGTCTCGTATCTACCTTACGTTTCGGTAAGAGCTCGGTTCGGGCAAACTGACAGTCCTGCCGTGATCAGCTCTGCAGAATAGGGGGTTTCGTAGCGTGGATCATCGCATGCCAGAACGGATACGGGCGCCGCCAGGTCACCATACCCTGGGCGAATTTCGTCATAGTACTCGAGGCGCAGTGGTTCCAATCTGTCGTCGAAGCGTGCTTCGCATTCGGATTCCTCAAGATTTCCATCGCCCTCTCGCTACTACGGCTAAGCAGAGGGACTTGGTATAAGTGGATATTGTGGTGTCTTATAGGTAACTCTCCATCTTGTCTCATGCGGTAGCTCGCTGCTGACCATTCACGCTTGCTAGCATTTACCTGCTTCTATACCCTCTTCGCCTTCATCACCTTCCTTACCTTCTGCCAGCCCATAGAAGGGGTGTGGAACCCGGCCGTCCGACCCCGGTGTTACAGCATGTTTCTATACCGAAATTTTGGCCTGTTCAACGCTGGTGGGTTTTAGATTTCCGATGAAGGGACTTGGAATATCAGCTTAAACTGTTTTTCTCTTAGCATGCAACATTTTCACCGACATCACCTTCGCCACGTTGCCGGTTCCCCTCATATGGAGCCTCCAGCTGCAACGAAGGATGCGGATATATCTCATTGCCATCCTCAGTGGAGGATACTTGTAAGTCGTGTACATGCGGTGCCTTTCATTGGTTTAGGAAGGTATCCATGCTCACCTGATCACTTGCAGTGCCGTCGCCTTGGGCATCGTCAGGGCCATCTTCATTATAGGGTTTGTTCATGAGAGGGACGGGACATTGTATGTGACCTAGCCGTTGAACCCCTGATATTGAATCTAGGCTGTGCTGACCCTTATCGCAGCTACCCCTGGGCACCCTTCTTCGAATCGTAAGTGCTTTCGATTCTTAATTCCCCTTTGGTCTGACCGTTCTAGACTTCAGGTCGACATCGGCATCATCGCTGCCTGCGCACCAACCCTTCGGCCCCTTTTCGGCCAGGCCCTCCACTTTCCCACGACCAACTACCGCGGCGCCAACTACTACCGGGCAGGCAAAGCTCTCAACCGGCTCCCCGCAAACGGCAGTGCTGCCCGCGCATACCAGAGGCGTAACACCGGCTCCGGCGAGTTTGTGGAGCTGGTCAGATGCGAAAAAACCTGGTCCACGGCCCACTGCGGCGATACGGGTTTTATGGCCACAGCCGTACATGCCGAGCATGCTCCGAGACGAGAGGCCAATACTGAAAGCCCCGATAACGAGATTGACACGGTCCTCCCGCTCGCCAACGATCCCGAGTTCAAGGGTATTGTGAAGACAACCGAGTTTAGGATCGAGAAGTGAACAACCAGTGAGAGCTGGTTCGCTCACCCAACGCATCCCTTATTCCTCCGGCAAGCAGGAATTCATAGTACGACAAGGTAGGTACTTACCGATCGGGACGAGGTAAATAGGTACCTAGCAACAACCGAGATTCGGTCTTCAGCCCAACGTGACCTCAGTCATTACCAACGAAAGGACGTATCTATTAAACGACCTGTGGACGATTTCGAAGGAAGTGGCAGCACGAAGGGTACGCCTTCTGGTAGCAAGCAAGCAAGGTCACTGAGCTAACCAAGTGTCAGCTTGGGACGGACCCCTGAGCACCTTGAGGAAAAAGGGTCACCTGAATACGTAGTGGTCTTATGGAGGGTCATTGAGCGTGCCTAGCTCTAAAAAGCCGGAACAACGTCTGGCTTGACATTTGGCGATCGCAGGGTACCCTCCCATACATGTACTCGTCGTGATCCAATGACAAGGGGATGGGCTGGGCCTCGTCACGGTGTCGTTCCGTCTACATCTACAGTAGCCCAAAGGTCGGAGTACGCCAGGTTGTACCTAGTCGGACAGAGCTAGGTATGCAGTCATCGTAGCAATGATTACCACCACGGTTCATAGACTCCATACAGCGGTGATGCAAATCATAAGACTAGGACTGGCCGTCATTTTACTCTGTATGCGGATGCATGCCTTGCCCGGTGCCCCTTTTGTCTGTGAATAAGGGTACTGTGAACATAGTGCTACAACTGGTACTACACTTGTGCTCTTGCTCTCGGGATTCTTTGCTGAGGTCAGGTGTCACGAGTGCAGTGTCTTCCAACTTCAATCGATACCTTTCAATGTTGGCGCGCGCAGTCATCTGCAACTGACACCCCATTCATGTTCACAACCAGACAACAAGTGACCTCTTCTATACCACTCAACTCTGCACTCACATCAAGGTTCGTGAGCAGTAGTGAGGTACTGGTAACGAGTTGCAGTTCTCGAGTACAAAGGCCCACATTCACATGTGTTGGTCTCGCATTGTGTTGTACCAACTACATGTAGTTCATACTCTCAGTCCTCTGTGGGTGCCATGGTCTAGGTACTATACATGAGTCTGACGATCCCATGTGGCAGTCAAATGACGAGGCAACCAGCTATCAAAAGCCACGAGGCACGATGTCTATGTCATGAAAGGAGTGAAATGCACGTGGGTAATTCAGCCTTTCCAAATCCCTACCGACTTAAAAAATCGATGTGGTTGATCTCTGAGCTTCTACCCACTGTATTGCAAGCCACATCCACATGCAGCCTTCCAGATCTGGCTCCTCAGACTTCGAGAGTTCAAATCCCTACAGGGACCTACAACTTGGGTTAGACGGCTTACTAACGTAACAGATACGCCCAGGAACACGTTATCACCTCATATTAAGAGGAGACAGCCGCTATGTGCAAGCTTTACGACGTTTATTACGTCAAAGGGCCTTGCTCTCGGGCTTGCGGGCCCGGCAGTCCACAACCAATGTGGAGTAAGTGCCAGCACAAAAGGGCATCCAGATGCCAGTCTGAGCAGGAGAGTGCAATGGTGAAGCTGGAGGTCCAATACAACTGTCGTCGGCATCTCGTTCAGAGAGTTGCCGCCTGGATATTACAACCGAGCAGAGGAAGGGGGGGTCTCTGTCCGCATGTTCTGTCTCATGACATTATAGTCCGGCACTAGCCAAATTGAACTTCACGACAACATCATGGTACCTAGCCGGTGTCATTATGTTTCCTTAATGGCAGATTTGGCTAGTGCCGGACTATAATGTCATGAGACAGAACATGCGGACAGAGAGACCCCCCCTTCCTCTGCTAGGAATACATTGAACGGGTTGAAGGCTTCAACCAGGGGTACAAATGGGCCACTCTTCACCCAGATGTAAAGCCTTGGGTTCACCAATGTGCTTACAACGCCTTTTTCAACCACTACCAGCACGAGTACTACAGCGAAGTCGATAAGGAGATGTACCGCCTGTTGCACGACAACGCCCTGCCACCGGGTATCACAAGGGAGCCAAAAGACATGACGAGATTCCCTGGAAGTACCGTGACAAGATCAAGGAGATGCTGAACCTTTACGAAGATGACAACATCCTCGTGGCCGGACGTGCCAGATGGCAGCAACCTGAGCAGGCAAAACCTTTGTTCAAGTATTCCCCAGACAGCGACAAGCCCGCTGAGGTGCTCGAACAAGAGCTCCGGGAGTATATGACGGGCCAGATCAGCGTCGGTCCTACGCGGTTGGCCACGCCTTTGACATTGTTTAGGAGTGCATAGCCGATACTCAGGAGCCTATAACCACTCATGCTTTGCACGAATATCTTCCGCAGTACCAAAATACGCAACTTGAAGGCTATAAGCAGTCAGGGGGTGTGTAACGGGCTATTTCAGCTTGGGGGCCCTAAGCGATCTAACTTGTTGGCGGCGCCTGCCTCCAAATAGAACACCAACCCGCTCCTGCCTCTTTATACCTAGGTAGTTACCCTTCCGCTCAAGGATAGAACAGATAGATAAGGTACCTAATAAGCTGCTCATCGTCGGTAAGCCAGAGGAAGATACCTAGCAGGGAGAGGGGGGGTCTTTGACCGTATAGGCAACATTACCATTCCCCCGGACATTGTAGTCCGGCACTAGCAACTACCTGCCATTATATAAACGTTATAACACCGGCTAGGTACCATCTTATTGTTATTATAGTTCGATTTGTAGTGCCTGACTTCAATGTTATACTAGTGAGATAGACCGTACGGTTAGAGACCCCCCTTACTCTGCTAGCTTAGGTAGTACCCTCTGCTGCTCAGCTTTCTTCTTTGTTTGGGATAATGCATTGATAGCAAGGTGAGTACCGCAGACACAGTGCTACAACTGACTCCACGCCTGTGCTCTTGCCCCCAGGACCTTCTTTGCTGCGCCTTCCAAGAAGGGGTTCAGGTTGGCGCCCCGGCGCGTGCTGCCATCAGCTCAACAGACTGAACACCCATTCAACCTCACAACCAGGCATACAAAAACCCGCTCCATTACCACTCAACCGTGTGAATCTCGTGCGTACTGGTCATGATGCCGCACTTCTGGAGTACAAAGGCGTGTACACATGCATGATGCACCTGCGCCGGTCACGAAGAGCTATGTGCTGCCTGGTTCATACCTCAGTCCTTTATGGAGGCTATTGTCTACATGTACGCAGCCCTGACGGTACCATGTGGCAGTCAAGTGACGAGGCGACTACCTTAGGCATTCATGGACTTCACGAGACAAAGTGTTTGTGTCCATGAACGCGTGAACGCAGGGCAGGTCTTTCAACCTGTCCAAGTACTTAAGCAGGACTGCACTTGACCTTTGGGCTTTTGCTCGTGGTAGTTCAAGACCTACATCCAGTCTTCCAGATCTGCCTGTTACGCCATCAGATCCCTACCTACGGAGACAGTAGCCCCAGCCAGCACTCGTACTCAGGGTAGCAGGGCTAACACCAACCGATAACCCCAACAACACCAGACGATAGCGGGAAAACGGCCACCATGTGCAATACTATTTTCAAAATCCGCTATGCCAGAAGGCCCTGTTCTCAAAATTGCGGCTCGGATTGGCCTCCAAGGGTGAGGGATATCAAATGCAAGAACGACGAGGACAACGAGAACGGCGAGAAAGACGGAAGCTCAAGCTGCAACACATTGACATATACGCTGCCGCTCGAATACAATTGTGCTCCGCACCTCGTTGTTAGGATGATTATCCCAAAGATCCGCCGATATATGGATGCTGTCAGGAACTTCCGTACATCCGTGTATGGGAGTAAGTGGAGAGCTCTCCACGTGAATGTGAGGCCTTACGTCTACCAATGGGCTTATCATGCTTTTTTCCAGGACTACATCCACCGTTACTACTCTCACATCTCCAACCAAGTCAAGAACAGGATACACATGGAGCTGCACAATAACAGGCTGCCTCGGGGTGTCACAATGGATTCCAGAGGACATGAGGACATGCTTCAGGAGTACCAAGACGAAATTTGCCAGATGGTGAACAAGTTCCAGGACGACAGAATCCTCCGGATTGGACTTGACATACGTCAGCAACCCCAACAGGCACGCGACTTCTTCAAGTACCCCCTAACACACACCGAGGATACGCTTGACCAGTTGCTCCGTGAGATTGAAAGTGGTCAGCTCACCGTCGAGCATTACTGGATTACCCACGCCTATACCTTGCCAGAATTCTCAGAGCACTACTCTTAGGCGACCTAAAAACGTTACTAGCGACCAAAAGGCCAAGTCCACTGTCCCGGACGGGTACTGCCAGCCCGGACACCCGGGAGGAGCGCAAGTGCCAAAGCTCAGGGGTAATGCTGTAATGCTAGGGCTTGTTAGTCTGCTGGGCGCTTGATGCGAGGGAGCCATGAAGTTAGCTGCCTGGCGGTTAGGCTGCGGGCAGTAGGTAGTCTGTTGATATCGCCCTCCTGCCTCTAGGTAGTGCCTAGCAGAGCAAGGGGGGAGTATCTGACCTTACAGTCTGTCTCATGACATTGTAGTCCGGCACTAGCAAATTGAACTATGATGACAACATTATAGTAGCTACTACGTAACATACAGTTAATGTTTTCAGGTAGGTCATATAACGGCAAACACTTGCTACTTGCTAGTGCCGGACTACAATGTCAAGGGGAATGTTCCGGGTCATGTTGCCCCGTATGGAACCTACTAGTTGATAATGACAGAGACCAGTGTCAGAGAACCCCCTCTCCCTGCTAGGTACTAGGAATTCCTAAAGTGTTTACGTAAAACGTGTAGCCTAGGTAGCCCATTATACCCTGTTTAGTTTCCGTGAATTGATTGTATAAGCTAGGTACCTATCTTCGAGCCGATGTACTTCGTAACGTGTTGATTCTAGGAAGAGGGGCGATTTTGGAAATATCCTCATTGTAGTCTGAGAATATAAGAGGCCTTCCCGACCGTTTGGTGTGGGGGTACAGCGGAGATGGCTGGAATCAGCCTACTACGTAGTAGGCGTCGCATGAGCAAGGCTCCGTCTCGTCAGCAACTCTTCAGGTAAGGTAGGCATCCATCAACTTTCAGCCGCACACAAGCTGCATTAGCGAACCCTCTCTGGGTATGGTTAGCGCCGCAAGGGTCCATCAAGCGACCAAAAGAGCAACTATTGAGCAGGGGTACGAACATTTCGCATGAGTTGAGGCTCCCGGGCATCCTCCCTCCTTGGTCCAACCTCTATCTGTGGCAACTCCAGTCTTACAACACGCTCAAGTTACCTTTCTGCGATCCCAAGATCAACGAAACCGTGACCAGTCCCAGACGCGGCAGATATCTCACCGTCTCACGAGCCCATGGTGGTTCCCGCTCTAAGGGTGCTGCTCGCGACAGCCGTCGCTGCTGGCGCTATAGCTCAGGTTACCACAATTCCGATTTCACCATCATGCGAGGTACGTTGTGGTTGAGATAGACTCGGCGCGTCGATGTGTTTGACTTTATCACCTCCGATATCCTTTCCAGCCAGTCACTAATTCGAGCCCTCTTCATGTCGTCGGGCGTGCGCGCAGTACGATTGCCTGCAGACCCTCGTGCTCAGTGGCGGAGCCTGCGGGAGTAGTATGGATTTCACTTGCTCATGCAAGATGTATGATGATCCCGACTACGTCAGCTGCATGCAGTCCGAGTGCGCCTCTAGCTATCCTTGTAAGTACACTAGCCAAACTCATCGTGGAATGGAGATCTGATGGCTACATCTTCCCGTGTCCCCTAGCTATACGGAAACAACAAGCCTTGACATGCGCCTACTTGGGCGTCAGCATCAGTCCAGATGTTCCTGGGTCTCCCGCAACCAGTGCATCCGGGGAATCTGCCGCGACTGCTACGTCAGGGGCCCCCCAAGCAACTCAGTCACGCACATCATCAGCTGCGGGGTCCAGCGGCTCGACGTCAGGGTCCGGTAGCTCTACATCGGGGTCTGGGAGTTCGTCTTCAAGACCTAGCAGTACGTCCAGCACCAATCCTGACTCTGATTCAACTTCCGGGTCACAAACCTCAGGTGAGTGGCGACTTGAACGTACCACATTCCTCAAGGCGCGACTTGATACGTGGTTTCCCGAAAGAATGGACACGACTCTAACATTGAAGTTGCCTTATATAGGCGAAGAAGACAAGCTCAGTACTGCCGAGCTTGCCGGCATTATAACTGGTGCCGTTGGTGCTGTCTTCACGATATTGGGAGTATGGGCCACGATTTGGATCAAGCGACGTGGAGAACCTGAATCTTCCAAACCGAGCAACCAGAACCAAGCGACCAGCGAGAGAAATCATGTTCCCGTCATCGATTACTACGGCCGGTCACCCCCGCGATATATTCCGTAGCCCCATCTACCTTACCAGGATACCTAGCTAAACCAAGTGACACCAATGAGGCTCGGCCCGTAAGGGCTGGGGTTACCGCTGGTTGACGCTCAAGCAATCTACACCAACTGTATGTCAAGATGTCGTATTACTAAGTATAGAATAAACGCTGAGTTGTGGTGGCCGTGGTGCTTCAGCTTCCAAGGTTCTGGTGTTGTAGCGGAACCGAGGGCCAAGAACGTGGAGAATCTCTCGGACACAGCAACGTGCCGAGTGACCCAATGCTGCCAATAACTCAAATAAATCAAATTTGACCTTCATCTATTGATTTGCCTAGTACCAGTTTACATTGTCGCACCTCGGCCCTGTGGCTCCAACCCTAACTCCGACGGTTTCCTGGGTTCCCGTGCCAACTTGAACAATGCTCGAGCTCCCTAGGGGCGTACTTGACAAAAGTTCGCCAGGGCAGTGTGAGTGGCGTAAAACGCAGCCTTGGCTTGATATTTCTCGTCGAACATCAGGGGCTTCGCACCCGGCAGCCAGGTGTAAGCGTGCTTATCCGTGAAGCCCCAGAAGCTAATGTCGGTGATGCCTGCGTTCAGAGCCTCATTGATTACGGCGCCGTAGATATCGGCCTGGAGTGTGGCGTTGAGTGTGTGGACATCCATTTCCGCAATGGTTACTTCCAGTCCGAGAGCCTGGTACGAGTTGACTATGTCCGTGATGACGCCTGGCATCGGAGCGACTTCGGTGATGTGCATCTGCAGGGCCACTCCGTCGATCGGGACGTCGTTTGCCACGAGTCGAGAGACCAAGTCGTGGAGTTCCTGACGTTTGCCGGGGAGTGACTCGACGAGATTCTCGTTGATGAACAGCTTGGCGTCAGGAACTGCTGCCCGGGCGATGCGGAAGGCCTCTTCAATGTAGCCGGGACCAAGCACCTTGTAGAAGTCGTTGGCTTGCAGGCCACCGCCCTGAGTTTCGAGGGCTTCGGTAACGACATCCCACCGATCCATCTTGCCGCTGTACCGATGCATGACTGCCTCGAAATGAGCCTTCATCGCAGCACGAAACGCTGTGGGGTCCGTGATGTTGAGCAGGTAGCTGGGGTTACAGCAGCTCGAGATGAGCCCGTGTCCCTTGACCGCCATGCCGTTGGCCCCCGCGAAATCAACGAGGCGGTCGATCGTTTCCCAGGTGAAGTCGCCCTCGGTCGGGTGAATGAGCGACCACTTCAGCTCGTTTTCAGGAGAGAGACTGTTGAACTGCTTGGCAAGGACGGCCGCAAACCGAGGATCGTTGAGGTAGGACGGATTGATCGCTCCGGACCCGACGAGAATGTCCGTCTTGCAGTTGCCGGCCTCCTCCCTCAGCGGGGTGGTTCCAGTGCTGGGAATTCCGCATGCCGCTCCGGTAGCGGCGAGCAGCGCGATGACGAGTGTTGCGCCCTTCATGCTTCTGGATGAGCTAGGTAACGATGGAAGTCTGTCCTTTATTAGGTGCTACTCAGTGGTGACTGGTGAGTGTCGTGCAACTCTAGTCCCGTCCAACATCGTGAACGTCGTGAACGGATATATAGGTCATTGTAAGAAGCCAAGGACGACGAGGCTGTGTCATGAAGCCGTGGACAACAGTTCCTTGATACCTACTACTATGACGCCGGAGCAAGGGGTGGATTAGAATCTTTGTAGTGGATACCGAGAAACGAGAACGAGAAAGGTCCTGCTCCTCTCCACCAAGACCCGTCCAGCAGTGGAACCAACGGATGACCTAAATCACGCTGTACTTATTGTAAAGCCGTGTACGAATAAAAGGTCAAAGACACAAGCGTGCGAGGAATGAACTTGTGTTGCAAGGCCAAGGAGAAGAGCCGTGGGCCTGAGGCTTAAACGTAGAGGACGAGGGGGAAAATGCCAACAGCGTTCCCCTGATAGGGGATGAGAACGAGAACGAGAACATGAACGAGAAGGAGAAACGGTGTGGCTATGGAGCTGGGAGATGGGGTCTCCGGGTTTGCTGAGTTTCGGCGTCATCTCTGTCGTGTCAATGCCATATAGACTGATGAGCTGGAAGGTATGAGAGGTGCTCCTGAAGACGCGAATATCCGTGGGCTTCTCAAATAAACGAGCAAGGCTACGCGGAGCAAATGTCACCAGTCCCATAGCGGAGCCGTACTGGTATCTCAGGAACCCTGGACCTTCCAGAACTTTGATTGCGTCGCATCAATAGCCTCGTTTAAGCCCCAGTCTCGTTCATGCAGGTTTCTTCCAACTTTCTCCGTTATTTCAGGCCCACTAGGCTAGGTCGGCTCTCTTACACGACGGTTCGCGTGTCGTTATGGCGGTCCAATCGCAGATGGCGTGGGTATGCAGTTCTGAAGATCAACCTAAACGACACCAAGGGAATATTCCCAAAGCCGCCGCATCGGGCCCGACTTTGTCAGTTGGAACACTGAGCCACGCCCTTCAGCATATGCCTGCCGATCAACAGAGCTTCGTATGGAAGTTGGCCGGGGTGCACGCTCCCAGGTCTGCAGTCAAGGCTCAACGGAAGTCGGATTGTATCATTTGTGATGATCTGATCCAGCAAGCCAATCCCGGGCCCTCCTGCCTCAAGCCATGGCAGCACTTCGTTTACGTCGCGTGAAGTACGAGAACGAGGCGCGGGAACGAAGAACGGGACGGGAACGAGCTCCGAGTCATGGCAAGACAATAATCAGGCTCCCCACCTTGTGCCTGGAAAGCCCTGAATTGCCGGCACCGCCTGCCCCAGGCGGGGGTGGCGGAAACTTCCGCGCTGCGCTACGCGGGTTTCCTATTATAGTCACCATCGTCGTAAGTAGGTAGGTACCTTAGGGACGTGTGAGTGGGAAGGAGGAACCTTGGGAAGCCTGTATTTATTGGGGCACTGTGACTTGGCTCGTTTTCCTCCAGAGTTCAGACGGGCGTTTGATCAAAATGGGACTTTGATCAGGTCCCACATAACATACCTTCTACCCCTGCAGGCCAAGGCTTGGCATTGACTTCAGATTTGCCCATTTGGGTTCTTGATCAATCTCGATTCAGACCTTCTAACGTTACTTATCAAGGTACAGTATATAAGGTACTGTAGCTGAATTTTTTTCTCATCGCTCTGGTCCTCGTTAATAAATCGTTTAACTCTCGCTTTTTGTACCTATCCAGACCTCCGCACCTTGTCGTTATCGGAATGAATGCTGATTAGCCTCGCGCCACGCGTGTTCTCCGTTTTCCCTCCTTCTCGACCTGAACTACGTTACTGGGTGACCTTAGGTTGTCTCGGCTCTCGTTTGAGCCAGATGATCGGGCCTTCAGCTTCCCTTTTGCCCGAAGCAACCCCGGGAAGGCTGCATGTGGTCAGCACGCGACGCCGTCCCCACCGCAAGTCAAAGACTGGCTGCGTCGACTGCCGGAGACGGCGCGTCAAGGTACGGGCCGCCTTTTAGACTCCGATCTTGCATTTTCCTCGGCGGGCTAATTTTGCAGTGCAGTGCGACGAACAGAAGCCAAGTTGCCGATTGTGCATGCGGCGTCATGTCGAATGCGTATACACAGTGACAGTGCCATACCAGGCCGGCGGGCCGGCCGTCACGCATGCTTCCGTGCAATGGCCACCTACACCCGATCCGGCATCATCGCGGCTGTCGCATGAGGCATTGCCCGCCTTCCAGGCTGCGCCTCCGCAAGGGCATGTCACCGAACCTTCACCAGCTGAAACACCCGCCCACTCACGCTCACTGGGTGGCTCGACCGTCTCAGACGCCTCGTGTTCCCGTAGGACCGCGTGCACATCCACGTTTCCCTTTAGCATGAGCGATCTGGCACTCCTCCACCATTGGACATTGTCCACCAGCCTCAGCATCTGCCGCGAGTCCAGCTGCGTCGACATCTGGCGACGGGTGTTCCCGGAGGTAGGCTTCGAGCACCCTTTCGTAGCGCATGCCATCCTGAGCCTGGCCGCTCTGCATCTCGCTTACAGCGCTGGGGCGAGAGACGGTGCAAACGTGGCCAAGGCCGCCGAGCATTACAACGAGGCTCTCCTAGGGTTCCGTCAGGCCGTGGCCAACATCACTGATACCAACAGCGAGGCGCTGTTCATCTGGTCGTTGCTGAACGTGATATATGTCTTTGCGTCTCTGACGCAACTCGGCGACGCGGACGCTGAGAACAGTGCTTCCCGCATGTCCTGCATGTCCCGCAAAGAGCAGGTTCTCGGCATCGAATGGATCCCCATGATCCGCGGCATCGAAGCCGTACTGTACCCGACGCACAATTACCTGCGGTTTGGCCGCATGCAAGTCATCATGAGTATTGGTAATTGGGACGATTTGAAGCCGGGTCCGGTCGCGTCCCAGCGACCCGATAGCTATCTTTGTCGAGCGCGAGAGACGTGGAAGAACAGCAGTGACGTCGAGACATACGACCGGGTCCTTTGGATCCTCCGCAAGTGTTGGATGTTTATCCAGCAGTTTGACACAATGGATGCGGCCAGGCTGGCAACCTGGGGCTATAACCGCTCCTGGTCTGGGCCGTTGATGTTCGTTCACTTTGCACCTGACGCGTATTTTACCCTGTTGCACCAGCGGCAGCCCCCAGCGCTGGTCTTGTTTGCTTATTTCGGTGTCCTTCTGCACGGGATCACTGATTACTGGTTCTTGGAGGGTTTGGGCAAGGAGATTGTGGAGGTAGTTGCTGACTTGCTTGGGTCTTACTGGAGGCCGTGGATCTCTTGGCCGCTAGACGCTGTTGGACTTGACTAATGGTTGGGCCGGCCACTCAGTTTACCTATATTCTCGATCGTCCTCGGCAATGGAGCCAGTACTTCGGATAGCTAGATGCGGTTGACAGTTGCCGTACTGACCAAGAGCAGGAGGACCGTGCCGAAGATGTAATGATAGGCCCTTGTGACTGACAACCCTTGTAGATACTCGATGGCGCGGAAAGTGGACGGGTTGGACCTTGATGGGCGTCCTGCCCAAGTAGAGCGCCCACATATTTCTTCGCCGGCCGAGTGTGTCCGTGACAGCGAGCTTGGATCCTAGTAAATAGAGAGGTTAAACGTAACTGCAAGTGCTCCTCCTCAGCACCTATTGTACTCTACGGAGTATCCTAGTGGATCTTGGAATGCTGCAGTGTCTGTGGGTACTCCGTACGAAACTGTGCGTAAGGTACAGTATGTAATTACAGTACATACAGACAGTATGTACCGTACTTCGTTTAGGGCACAACGGGAGCGAGAATTCTCGGTTCCTAAACGAACCTTCTGGGGCAGGGGTTCGAACTTCGGCGCGATGGGAACCCACCTAGATGCGACGAACGCGATTCAGGGACACATGCAAACATCCTCCTCAAGAGCCAGCGTTAGCCTGGTCCGACTCAGCCCGTGGCATTTCGGGCAAATATCCCCAGAGCTGTGCGGCCACGGTCAAGTCCATGGCTGGGATGCACGGCAGTGCAGACTGCAGGGTTTTCCTACCTGACGGTCCTAGGCCCGATAATTTTAGCCAGGCAGTTTTCCCCTAATTCCCCATGATGGCTCCATCGTCAATTCATATCGCCGTCGGGTCTGGCGAATCCGTACGGATAGACGTTGATGGCTTAGGTTGTCATACACCACCCTCAAAACCAGCCGACTTCTCGTCTACCACTGCGTCTTTGGATTTCCCGCATGCTGTTCTTTTATACTTTTCCTTTTACAGGATTCCTTGCCCGCCCTCCACTTCGCCCCAGAGGCTTACTATCCAACCTCCCAGTTGATCGTTTCGCCATTCCCAAAGAAGAGCCTCCTTCTCCTTTTCAGGGGGACACATTACTGTGATGGAAGAAAAACGGCACACCATACGATATGAATTGCCAGCTGAAGATGTTCAGCCACTCCAAAGTCCGGGGGCAACCAGCACGCATACTTGGGGCACCGACAGCGCCGAAAAGTCACGAGGCGCCGCCGACCCAGGTTATCAGGAAGGTCATGTCTACGAACTCATGGGAAGCAGCGTGAAAGTTGGCGGTAAGTCCAGGTACCCTCTTCTTACCTCGGGCATGGAGAGCGCGAGTGGCTAACCGGCACATGCACCGACAGACGATGGGCGCGTGGAAATCGATTGCGAATCAAAGCTTGCAAGAGCCGTCAGCCTCATGTACCGTCCGCCCCCCGTGTACGGCGAGAAACAAGTGATTGAGCACTCCGAGTCCAATCCGGAAGATCGGCACCCTCCGCCAGGTTACGAGGAAAGCATTGGACAAGCCACGCAGCATCCAAAACTCAATGTCCTAATCCAGGTCGTTGGTAGCAGAGGTGACGTCCAGCCTTTCATTGCACTCGGGAACGAGATCCGGAGACTTGGCTTCCGGGTCCGTCTCGCTACGCACGACATGTTCGAGAAGTTTGTCCGAGATTCTGGCTTGGAATTCTATCCCATCGGCGGTGACCCTGTCGCACTGATGGCTTACATGGTCAAGAACCCGGGCCTCATCCCCAGTTTCCAGAGTCTCCGAGCAGCCGAGATCCAGCAAAAACGTGATATGGTGGAGGAGATGCTCGAAGGCTTCTGGCATGCCTGTTTCCGGCCAGACCCCGTCACCAACGCCCCTTTCGTGGCCGATGCCATCATCGCCAACCCGCCTGCCTTCGCACACGTGCACTGTGCCCAGGCGCTCGGGGTCCCGTTACACATGATGTTTACCATGCCGTGGACAAGCACCAGCGCATTTCCCCATCCGCTGGCCAATCTCAGCAACTACACCGGCAGTCAGTCTGCCGCGAACTACGCGTCCTATGCCATAGTGGAGTATTTAACATGGCAAGGGTATGTATGGGTTGCATGACGGTGCAAGTATCGGTCAAACCGACCCTACGGAACCTTATAATAAAGGACGATTGAGGCTAATGTGTGATACAGCTTGGGCGATGTCATTAACAGGTGGCGAAGCACGCTCGACCTGGAAAACGTAGCCATGTTCGACGGCCCGTTGCTGGTGGAAAGGCTACGCATTCCTTTCACATACTGTTGGTCACCAGCCTTGGTTGCCAAACCCGCTGACTGGGGCGCGCATATTGGTGAGAACACTAATTCCTAACCCAATGACCAATGTGTTGCGGTCGCCAAAGCTGATCAAAGCTCGGCATGTGCAAAGATGTCTGTGGATTCTTTTTCCGAAACCCACCGGACTACTCGCCGCCTGAAGACCTCGCGCGCTTCTTGTCAGCCGGTCCGCCACCCGTATACATCGGATTTGGCAGCATTGTGCTTGACAACCCGCAACGCGTCATTCAGATCGTCCTCGACGCTGTCCGTGGAGCGCGTGTCCGGGCCATCATCTCGAAGGGATGGTCTAACTTGGCGGGGCCGGCCAGCGAAGACATATACTGGATCGGGGACTGTCCCCACGAATGGCTCTTTGCCAATGTTGCTGCCGTTGTCCATCATGGTGGCGCAGGCACGACGGCCTGTGGCTTGAAACACGGAGTGCCGACGGTCGTTGTTCCATTCTTCGGAGAGTAAGTGGCAGAGGGAGTTTTCAAAGCCATGCGATAGTCTACCAGTACCTAACCTTTGCGACAGCCAGCGCTTCTGGGGCGAAATGGTCGCCAACGCCGGCGCCGGACCGAAGCCAATTCCTTCAAAGCAACTAGACTCGCAGAGGCTGGCCGAGGGCATCGCGTACTGTCTGACACCGCAAGCACGGTCCGCGGCCCAGTCCATCGCGGAGCAGATGAAGTCCGAGCAGGGTGTCCAAGCCGCTGCACAGTCATGGCTCCGTCAATTGCCTAAGCAAAGTCTGCGATGCGACCTCCTTCCCGGCCAGACTGCGGCGTGGGTCTACAAAGAAGGAAAGAAATCCATCAAGCTATCCAAGATTGCCGCAGAAGAGCTCCTGTCTCGTAAAATGATCGACGCCAAGCGACTGGAAAAGTAAGATGGACCCATCCCCAGTCATTGCATGCCAGCTTTCCATGCAAATGCTGACGCATGAGCTTCTGCAGTTATCAAAGTAAGCCGATGGCCATCGAAGTGACGCGATGGGACCCAATAACCGGTGGCGCCTCTGCCGTCATGGCTACCGCAGTCGACATGGCTGATTCAATCACCGGCATGGTGACCCACCCGGTGGATGAGTACCGACACGAACAACGAAGGCGCGAGCGAGAGCGAAAGAGAGAACTAACCAGGCAGGGCACGCATCAAAATAGTCCCGAGGTAGATGGACGCTCCAGCCCAACAGAATCACATGCGTCAGGGGCCTCATCGACGGATGATTTCGGGAAGCGAAATCCACGCTCCATGGCCGGCACAGTTGCGGGGGCGTCTGCCAAGAGCATCGGCATGCTGGCGCCAACAGCGGCGAAAGGGATGCTAGTCGATTTCCCCCTTGCCATTACAGAAGGCATGAAGACCGTCCCCCAGCACTTTGGGACCAAGGTCCGTCACCACGGTCCAGTCACGGACGCGAAGAGCGGCGCAGCCGTTGCTGGCAAGACATTTGTGTGGGGTTTTGTGGATGGCCTGAGCGACCTGGTGATGGAGCCCATCCGAGGTGCGAGCCACGACGGCGCGTTAGGGGCCGTCAAAGGCATGGGGAAAGGAGCCGTCAGTCTCGTGGCCAAAAGCGGGGCCGGCATGTTTGGGCTGTTCGCCTATCCCAGCGCCGGTATCGCGAAGAGCCTCAGGACGGCCGTATACAGCCGCACGAGGAAGGTGCTTGCCAAGGCCAAGCATGCTGAGGGACAATGGCTGATGAGCAATGGTTTGCCCCAGGGGTTTACTGGGGAGGACTTGGTTAATAAGTTCCGGGAGCTTCGAGAGGGTAGATCTAAGTGAGTTGAGGCGAGGAGCGGAGCCCTTGTTGGAAGGTTGTCAATGGCTACATGTACTAGTATTGAATCCACAGCAATGTAATACGATCCAGAGGCAGTAGATAGGTAGCCAGCCACCTGGAGCAGCGCGGCACAGATTAGATGTAGTCCCACAAGACATAATCTCCAGGCTTTGGCTTGACCCTCCCCTCAGCTAGTTCTGCATTGTCTTTCACAAAACGCCGCACCGAGTCGTAGTCGCGGCATGTGTACATGCGCGACATGTCTCCTACCACGTCTCCTTCCATGCCAAGCCACATGTAGGGCAGAATGCCCATATCCGAGGTGCACATCAGACGCCGGCGGAGGTACTCAACACAGTGATCTAAGAGCAGAAAGTTAGACCACCGCTTCTTATCTGATTGTGACTGCACCACATTCAGGCGTAGCGATGATGTGATGATGTGTAACATCGAATGCAAACACATGGAGTCATACGTACCGACATGCAGTTCTCTATTTTGAGTTGGTACCGCTTTGATCATGTCCCCGTCATATTCGAGTGTGTAGTTGTATTGGAAATAGGAGAAGCGTCGGATAAGATTCTATTAGGATCGACATTGTCATTAACAAAACCTCTTCTCCTTCTAGCGTTCGGGACGGGGAGCAAAAAGCGCCTACCAGACAATGTAGTTGGTGGGTTACTTCGAGCCTTACTGGGTGTCCAACGAGGCCTTTCTCAGGGCTGTCCCAATATGCATGCCTCTTTGGGTCGAGGCCTGCTTTCTCAGCCTGTTCTTTAGGTAGCAACAAAAATCCGGCGTCTGTTCCATCTGCCAAGTCAATTCTCCGTTGCTTTGACTTCAGCGGTGTCCGAGTCGTCATGGTAGAATGCATGATACCCACCAAGCTGTGTCAGCTCACGCCAGGCGGCCTCGGTCTCTGGCGAGTTGTGTTTCCGGTAGATGTTATCCTCACGGTCGTAAAACGGCGAATAAATTCTTTCTGGTCTCAAGGCAAGCGAAATGTTGTTGAAGAACGGCGGAATGCCTTCGGGAGGCTCGAACACACTCAGGCTGTTGTGGCTGGGACAAGATGGCACCGACCGAGAAACTATGAGGATGCTTATAGCATTGGTGCATAGGATCGAGGCGACTAGGACTAGTACCCATTGTGTGGTACTCGGCTGCGAGTTTCGGCTGGTGTCAGGGGTGTATTCTCGTTCTTCTACGCCATGTTCAACATCACATTCACCAAGAAGCGTTGCTGACGATGAGGCGCCATCGTTGATATCAGAGTATCTCGTTGAAGAGCGTGCCATGTTTCTGAGTCAGCTTATGAAAAAGAACAGATGAGGGCCCCTCGTTAAGAGAAACGAAGCGCCTTGGTAGACCATGCTGTTGCTTTCATAGTTCCTAAGACCAATCGGCCAGGCTCGGGTAGACATTAATCACCCACCTTCAAGAGCCATACCGGTCGGTAGATTCTGAGCCGTTAGACACGTCAGCCTAATTTGATGAAATGCTCCTTGTTGACATCCTACCCTCGAAGGCCTCGGTATATAACTGGGTCAACTCGTAGTCGTATGATGACGCGCGGCCGTACGGCATGACTACCTACCTGATATTAGGATGTTACTAGAGGTAGTTGCTCCGACCACATACCGGCCAGGCTCCGTTTGACACAGACCACCTGCCTTCAACAACCAAACGGTATGTCGGTATATTGGTTAGAGACGTCAGCCAAATTTCATAATATCTTCTGTTTCTACATCCCACCTTCGGGACTCCATGTCGGCATATTGCCAGGTTAACTCACCAGTCACATTGTGGCGCGCGGTTGAGCAACATGTTTGCACTGGAACGTCGGTACATGTAGCTAGAGCTTGGTAGGGACGGAGAGGGGGGGGGGTTGGGGTGGGCGTATAGGAACGACAAAAGCGTATAAGAACGAGGAAAGCGGCAAGGGCTTCAATTAGACCTTGTTTGAAAGGATTGGCAAACACGGCTCCCATGTAATATAACCGAACTCCCGAGTCTGCAGGTACCCATACCGATAGTAGTGTAGATAGTACATCTGCCGTAGACAGTTCAAAGAGGCCGAAGTGCCAACGGAAGTGATAGCCCGACGGCAGCATGGGACAGTGTTCATTCGCCTGATACTTCATTATCAACGGATTATAATCGATCATAGGTGGCCACAAGATCTATAAAATACCGAGCAAGGACCTACCAAATGGTCAAGCCGTTTCCCGTCGACCTTTCAACTCCAGGTTGCATCCAGGCCGCTTGTTCATATTCCAGTCTTCAATTTCATCTCACAAGTCTGAAATCTCTACATCAGTGAAATGCGGAAGACGACAATTTTAACCATAGCAGCGTTTGTGGCCGCTGGATTGGCTCTGCCCAAGCCAGCTCCAACGCCTGCTGCAGGTAAGTTGCCGTCTGAGTCTGAGTTTTGAAGGCACGTCTGAGTCTGACCAGCCGAACTTGAACTATTCCTTAGCTTTCTATTTTCTGGCCCCCAGCCCCTGCAGTACTCCTCAGACTGCATCCGCAGCAAAGGGGAAGAGAGATCCCGCTGCAGGTATGTCAGCCAGCATGTTCCGAGTTCTGATGCTGAATCTAAAACCAACATTCCTTAGCTTTCTACTTTCCCCCGCCCGGATCCCCATGCGGCAACAACGGGTTTGTCAAGGGCGACAGGGACATTGTCCAGGTGGAGAACAAGTAGCCCGTGGGGCTGTGATATTGCCCGTAGGATTCCTTCAGGAATCCGAACTGTCTTTACAGTTTACCCCTGTTCGCTGGGTACTTTACTATGCGCTCGAGCGCCTGATATCATGATGAGTCGGCTTCAGGATTATGTGTTGGGTCAAGGTTTACCGAGCGCGATGGGTGAAAAAGCAGGAGGCTCAGAAGACTCACAAGGAGAACGAGATTTATTGCGTATCTAGTAGTTCTAGTGAGCCTACGACTCAACTAGCTATATATGGCTCTGTGCCCTGCAACTGCTCTGACCTGCTCATCAACTCCCCTTCCTTTACAAGATTGCTGCCCTCACCGCACCTCGTATCCATCTCGACAGCAGGCGAAGCTCTACTCGTTGTTGTCAGCAGGGAGAGCTCTCATCAAGGCCTGGGCCTGCTAAAGAGCGTCGTCCTTTATACTTGGTGTCTTGAACGAAGATTGTCACTTTCCTTTTAAAGAGCGTCATCCAGTAGCTCAGGATCCTTGTTCGGTGTTCACCATAGAGTCACCTGGACTTTGTCATTGGCTTAAGGGGTAACAATAAACGCAGTAGCAGGGTTAGGGTTTAATATAGCATCCCTTGAATCCCTGTCACTGGGCAAGCGGCTATCATCAAAGTCTGGATCCCCCGCCTCGGTAAGGGTACCGAGGGCCAAGAGGTTGCAGCCCTAGCAAATCTGGGGTAGAGATGCCGACGCGACTAGCCTAGCTCTGCGGAGTCGACGTCCGAGATCACATGAGCAAATCCTGCACATGGACGAGACAGGCCCCTCTCCAAGGGGAATTATGATTTCCTTTCTCTCGTATTCGATCGAGGCCAGTACTGCAGCCCGGGACAATCCAGCGACGTCGCCACGAAAGTCGTTGGTTCTGACGGGATCCGTTCCCACCTGATTCTGTTAGCGAGCGACAACTGTAAAGCGGGAAACAGGCCTCAGAAGCCGTCATTTGGGCCGCCTGCCACTTGCCTCGGCAGCGCTGCAACGCGGCCTCCTCTCTCCAGCCAGCCGGTCGGCCCGCGCGAATCCCCAGGCGTGGTCTTTTGCAGCCCGCTTCCGCTTCCGCACCGCAGGCGACGGGCGACTTTGACAAGATTGAACTAATTCGTCTAAAACTCGCCGACGGCATTGATTAACCGATCTTCAAAGTGGAGCAAGCAAACCCGTTGTGGTCCCGCGTAACTGTGCCGGCAGCCCAACAGCTCGGGTTTGGGATCACAGCCTAAATACAAACGCTCCACAATTCGATCACGACGACAGCAACGTTAACCCAAAAATATACCCAAAAAAATATCACTGTGCCACAGCATCCATGGTCGGTCTTTACGAGGCCGGGCACGACCCTTTCGCGGCCTACAGCGGCTACGAATACCCCAACTTCCCGGCACACCACGACCATGACGAGCTCGAGCTGGACACGGGAGTCCACTTCGCCGCCTCATCCTCCTCGCCCGAGGATCATGATATGCAGGTGACATCGGCGACGGAGCCGCACTTTCCCGGCCTCGCACTGCATAAGCCCCTTGTTGCACCCCCGTACCTCGCAACATCCCAGCCGTTCCTCCCGAACCACCCACATGCACATGCAACCGACGACGACAATGCCAACTTCCAGGTCGACTACACAAGCCTGCTTGGGCCTGGGCCTGGGCCAAACCACTCCAATCATGTCCAAAACCCGGCCATGGTTGGCACCAGCACCAGCACTGGCAACGAACTTGAAGTCAACATCAACGAACTTGAACCTCTCGGCGCAGGCGCAGACGCAAACATCATACGCGCCTTGCAGTCCTCCCTGCGACAAACGGCACGCGAACGCGACGAGGCGCGCATGCAGCTGGCGACGGCGCAGAACGAGCTGTACGCGGCGCGGCAGGTGGGCAAGCGGCTGCGCGCCGAGCGCGACGAGTACCGCGCGCAGGCCGAGTTTCTGGGTCGGGAGCGCGTCAAGGCGCGCGAGACCGAGAAGCGCCTGCGCCGCGAGCGCGACGAGGCCCGGCTCAAGAGCGCCTTACATGTAGCCGCCGCGGGCACCGCCACAACGACGGCGGCTAGTAGTCATGCCTTGAAGGGCAAGGGCGGCAAGGGTAGCGGAATGGGTGGTGGTGTGGCCAAGGGGTTGGGCGTCGTCCTGGGGCGCGCAGGGGGGGAGAGTCCGCCCTTGTGAGTAATAGGTACTGCGAGAGAATGAGCGGGTTGTGTAGGTTGGGTTGGAGGTTGATATTGTCTTTTTGGCGTTGATTGGTGCATCTCTACGTTTAAAGGCGGGTTTGTATGGCGCATGGACTGATCTTGGGTGCTTACCTACCTTATCTTGTACGATCAAGGTGTATTTGGTGCATAAACAATATGGAGGACATGTTGTAAGGTGAAAGGGGCAGCGCACACTGTCGAGAAGAGGACCATACCGCACTACAAAACTGCATTTTGGAAGGTGCTCCTCTTGAAGTTCAACATGATGGACCTAGGCTACTGACTTAAGGTCCGTAATATACCCTACCCTGAACCATCTGACCAACCGTCATACCAATTCCCCAGCAAAACCGGACAATGCCATCGCGACCCCCTATCCATCCCATCTGACCTTGACTACGGGAAAAGGCTAGTCAAAACACTCCCATAATCCCTGTACGACAACCCCATCTTCTCAATATCATAATCGTTCCAGTACCCTCCCCCAGCCAGCGCGCTCCGCTGATTCCACGCAGCGAACCTAGTCCTCGCCTGCGCCGCGCTCGTCCCGAACGACGGCTTTGAGTCGTTAATCACCCACACGAGCGGTACAACCTTCATGCCCAGGTTGTTCTGCCAGCCGGCCGGGTCGTTCGACGCCCCGCCATCGTAGCACTGCAGGTACACCCTGTCCAGAATCCACTCTGCCGCTCCCAGGCCGCTATTGACCTGATTCTTGACATTCCGCCAGAAGTTTATATTGGTATACGGAGCAATCGTGTACTTGTACCCGACGCGGGCGAGCATTTTGGCAAACGCCACGGTGCTGGCTACATCATAGATGGACTCGTCGTCGTTGTTGACGGCGTCGAGGGTCCACGCCTCGCGGAGCGCGGCAAAGTTGCGGTAGAGCGGGGTGTCGGCTCCCGGGCCGGGGCTGGCCATGAGGTTGCGGATGTTTTGAGCGTTCATGGAGATCTCGAGTCTGTTCACGCCCGTGTCGTTGCCGGTTTTGAATGAGCGCACTTTCGCCGCGAGCGCGTCGCCGCCCACGTATGCACCCCCTGATGCGACGAGCACGTCCTTGCTCCCGGGCGTGTTGGAGTAGTACATGATGGAGCCGTTGCCGAGCACGCCGACGCCAAACATGATGAGCGTGTTGAAGCCGGATGTGCGGAGCGCGGTCGTGTTGGATTTCATGACATCTTTGAAGAGGAAGATGCTGCGTATGCCCTGGGCGAGAACATGGCGCAGGAGGATATGGAGAAGCAGGGCTCGGAGGAAACCGCGAGATCTCATGTTGCGGATGGTATGAGGTATGAGAAAACGGGACACTGCAAGAATCGGCTTTCTTGGTGACTTTGGGTAATCCAATCGCACCACAAGAGTCTCTTACCTGGCTAGCTATTTAGCCCGTGGGTTTCTGCTAGGGCTCCAGACTCCAACAAGATGTCCCTCCTCTCATGCCAAGCACTGTCGGTTGTTACTTGTCATACCGGAATAGATAATCACTAGTAATGACTCGGGGATGCCTGGTAGCTAAGGTAGTCCAATAATGGGCAGAATGGCAGGAATGACCTGCCGATAGATATTGTTCCCATGGCTAAAGGGAACATGTCTACCCTGCAACGCCCGGCTCGGCATTCGGTACATCTCAACTCGAAATCGTCTAGGTACACTTATTGCCAACAGGGCAGCGGATTGGATAAATTGGATCCGTAATGGAACACACCGGTGCAGCCATAAGACGAGGGCTTAGGTCTCCGTCAGGAGTGATGAAACAAGTTTGCACATGCGGAGTAGCTGCCCAAGGAATCGAATAGTAGCACAGAAGTGAGAGATGGATAGAGAAACACAAAAACTGAGAGAGGGACAAAGAAACCGAAGAAGATCACAGAGCAGCGAGATCCTGCCTACCCAAAGCAGCAGGAGTAGCAAGTGGTGCGACGTGTACTGGTCTGGATCGATAAGTGTAGGTTCTTCGAGTCAGAATGCCAGCGATCGGATCTAGAACACTTCTCAGAAGAGTTCAAGTTCCTCGGTCTCGGAGGAATTTTGCCAGTGATGAGCTCTCAGAGAGGGGGGGGAGGGTTTTATACTGGCGCTAAGCAGTATGGCCGGGTTAGACGTTCCTTCCTTTGGGGGCATTCATGTCGGAGAACGGCAAGAGCGGAGCGGCCCCTCGATGGGGAGTGTACACTGCAAACTTACGATGCTGCCTGTCCTCGCCACAGGCTCACAATTTACATCCCGAATGTTCTGAAATCTACATCCCGCGGAAGCATAGTAGGGCGCAGACACTAGAACTATCCCCGGATTAAACGGACAGCAAACAACAAAGGGGGTGCGAGCAAATTAGGACGTTGGAGGTTTGAGGGATAACGATACCGCGCATGCTGCAGTGGGAACACTGGAATCAGTGGACTGTACTGTCCTTGCAACAGAGTGTTCTTGCTTACCTAGTCTTGGCTATCTGAGAGTGATGATAACTTTTGGCCCCATCCTCTGTAGTTTTGGGTTTTGGTATGTACACTTCCGCCAAACGAGCGCCGTAGTTAGACGCAACAGGCAAATCAGCGCTTGCGCTGGGCCACTCAAACTGTCATGCCACAGCACATGCATCCGCGCCAGCGGCCAAGGACAGGAGGCCTCGTCAAGCTGGAACGGCAAGCTGAAACGGCGAGATGAAGGCAAACTCAAACGGCAGTGCAGCACTGTCCCTCTTCCGAGCCGTATGACTCGACTTCCATTTGCGGAGCATTGGAATTGTACACTGTCGAGGTCAGGCTCATCAGCCGAAATGTCACCCGTCTTGGAGTCTTGGACACAATGGACGCTCAGGTTAGCGCCACCAACTGCGCACATGACCATTGTACTCATTTGCTAGGCTATCTGGCAAGCTCACAAAACAACCACGGACGTGGAGGCGCAAAACAGGACCGAGTTCCCAACGGCTCCGGAAGACTTACTCGGAGCCGCGCAAGCGGTATGCTGCGACGGGACACTGGCGCGACCTGGAAGAAGCCTTGATGCTTGCCAGGGTGGCTCTTGAGTCTCCCCACATACAGACGGATGCCGGGTTCGACTTGCAGTACCAGATCGCGATCCTACTATGGTCAAAGTACCAGAATACCAAGGTCACGAGGGATCTGTGAAACGCCCTCGAGGCCTCGAAGCGATCCGTTTCCATCCTCCCCGCGAGCCACCCCCGCCGCAGTCAACGGCTGAAGGAACATCTGAGAGCTTTGAAGGAATTTTCATGTGGGATTCACGACCTGTCAGAACTCCAGCAGATGCTCGAGCATATTGAAGACCTCTTTGACAACTCAGTGGATGCCACAGATATGTGGACCAAGGCCAATCGCCAGCTGGTTACGGACTGTCTCAGCAGGAAGTACGAGATTTCAGGGAAACCACTTTACCTCCGGGAACTTGCCCTACATGCCATGGCATGGTGGGGGGCCAGTACCGACCCTTCTGCCGCCTCCCCAGAAGAACCGACTCTGGCAGGGTTCCAGGTGTTGCCGCCATTCATCGAAACAGTATCAAGACTCGTCATGGCCCGATAGGAGACAGTAGCGCCATTCAGATCAGCAACGCCTTACACCGGGAGTACAATGTACGGGCGGCAGCACTTGACCCGCGAAGTGCTCTGGTCGAACTAGCCCGAGACGTCGAGATCAACGTAGAGTTTGTGGTCATCTTCCCGCAAGAACAAAATAAAGAGGATGAATATATGAAGGAATGTGAGGAGCGGTTCGAGTTTGCCAAGTCCATCGGCGCCACGACCGTTCAAATACGCACCAAGTTTCCGTGGGTGAGAATCATCGAGGATGACGAACCATTCCCAGCCCAGCCTACGCCCGATGGAAGGCTCGTTTCACCAGAACAGAGATAAAGAATATAGCGGCGTCTACAGATGCCGGCAAGCAGGATCGGCCCCACAGTCCAAGTCCCCCATATAAGGGCCCCGGGCTGACACAGTGTCCCAACCCGGATTTTTATGAACAGCGAGGAGCGAATGTGAGGCGTGTGTTGAATCTAGCCCAGGACTTGCGACAGCGTATCTCGTGCAGGGTCAGATAGAGGCTTTAGACGAGGCCGTCGACCTTGCAGCGGAAGCAGTCCGTCTCTCAGAATCCGATGAATTCGAAGCCGCCAACTTGCTGTTCAAAGCGCCAACTCCGTCCGGTCGACACATCAGTGAGGTGAAGGAGGATGTTATTCTTCACAGCCAGGCCCGATTCGTTCTGGCAGTCTGTCTCAAGGCGCTGTACCAGCGGGATGGGAACGTCGACCATCTCAATCTGGCTTGAGACGAGATTCAGAAGGCGCACCGCTTCGCTGCCATGATTCCCAACGGGGACTATCCCGAGATGAATCTCATTGTCAGCCGCTTGGGTCTGTTGCTGAGGCTCCGGTTTCTGAAGTTCGGTCGGCTCGCCGATGTCGATCTGGCTGTGCAGAGGATGGAAGAGGTGTTGAGCGGTACGCACAAGCTTCGCTTCAAACTTGAACACACTAGGTACCTACGCTTCATCGACCTGTGAACACACGCTGACATTATGGAAACTGCAACAGACCCAAGGAGTAGCAGGGATAACCGACGTGAGACGAACGACCTAGAATTACTCGGCAATTACGCCCTCATCTTGGAGACCCGGTTCGACAGGACCGGCGCACTGAGCGATATTGAGAAGTGCGTTCAAAGCAACGAGCGTGTCCTCTCACTTCTTCCGCCTGATGATCCTTCGTACCCAGATGTTCTTTGTTCCTTGTCCGGCGCCTATTCGAAGCTGTTCAAGATATCGAAAGACACCACCCACCTCGACGCTGCCATGGCTTATGCTCGGAAATCGTTACCCATTCTCCGGATGAACCCGCAAGCCCACGTAGTGGCGCTGAACGACATTGGAAGCATCCTATACAGTAGACTACATACCAGACTCAGCCAAGGTAAAGGCCCTCTTGACTACGATCTCTTGGCTGGGGAGGTGAACGAGGCACTCGACTGCGTCGAGGAAGCCCTGCGTCAGCTTCCCGAGCGACAATTTTCTCGTGGCACCCTTTTCTTTAACCTAGCCAGGCTATTGCAGTCAAAGAACGCGATACAGCCGTCGGACGAGATACAAGCGCGGTGCTTAGCTGTCTATCAAGAGGCAGGCATGGAGCGCAGACTTCCAGCATGCGGAGCAGAAACTGTGGGTTGGAAAAGCTGCAGCCCAGCAGTTTTGCCTATCCCAGCGGTGGACCGAGGCGTCTGCTATTCTCCAGGAGATGATTCAATTCATGGACATGGTCGCGCCTCGATGGTTGCCCAGCAAGGACCGGCTAGATATTTTGTCCGAGTTCCACGGCATAGCGGCCGACGCTGCTGCTGCCCGGCTGATGTGTTCTACTAGTAGCTGCAATACTGCCAACTCTTCAGTCTACGAGGCTCTACGGCTCCTTGAGATGGGGCGAGCAGTGGTGTTGTGCTCCAAGCTCGATTACCGCAGTGCGTCCCGGAGCCTAGAGGCCGTTTCCAATGGCTTGGCAGAACGTTTCAACCGGCTCACCAACGAGCTCGACGCGCTTGCTCGGTTCGACACCCGCAGCAAAGTGGACGAGCAGCGTAGAAAGCTAAACAACAAGTTAAGGGACATCATGACATCAAGCAGGGGCATCCTGGACATTCCAAGCCTGACGCCGCCACTGCCTTCCGGCTCGCTGGAGTCGTACAACTTGCGGCAGAAAGCGCCCCATGTCTTCAATGCCTACGAGATGGTGCAGCGGGAGATCAGCATCCTTCCGCCCGAGGGGCACGAGGATGAGATCTCAAAGCGCCATAAGGAGGCATCCCGGGATTTTGATCGCCTGGTGGCGGAAATCCGACAACATGATGGGCTGCACGACTTTCTCCGTCCTCTGAGCTTGGAGGCTACAATTGCGCTGGCAGGGGACGACCACATCGTAATTGTCAGTTCCAGTGCGATGGTCGGTCAGGGCAACGCCACCATCGTCAACCGGGATGGAATAAGCTCAATCCCGCTCGCTGAGCTTCGCCCCGAGGACATCGAGCGTCTCATGGATATCCTGCGGAAGGCAACGACTAGCTGGACCTTGAGGACCACGGCAGCGAACGACAAGAAGGTGACCATGGTGCTCAAGTATCTCTGGGTGACTGTCGTGAACCCGGTTTTAGTCCACTTGGAGAAAAGGGGACATCTCGCCGGCGAGTTACTCCCGCGAGTCCATTGGATCGGAACAGGCCTTTTGAGCGGTGCGCCTTTCCATGCCGCGGGGGACTATGCTTTCACCCAAGACAGTACTGGTACCGGGACTTGTGCGATGGACTACGTCGTGTCGTCGTACACGCCCACTCTGCGCTCCTTGGCATACGCCCTCGAGAGCCATCAGGAGCAGCACGGCTCACTGCGTCCAGCTGACCGGATGCTCATTGTGTCTGCAGCCACAGTGCCAGGACAGAAGCAGCTACAGTCCATCGCCGAAGAGGTCATGTCCATCAGAGCGATAGCCAGTATGGCGAGTCTGCAGAGCCATATCCTCGACGGCGCCACCCCAGCATCCGTTCTTTCCAGGCTCCCTCTTGCAAACATCGTTCATTTTGCCTGTCACGGCGAGGCAGATCCTCGAGATATCGAAAACAGCCACTTGGTTCTACACGCAGACATCACCGTGGATGGAGAAGCTCCTAGAGCAAATGACTCTGCCAACGAAGGAAAACTCACGGTTCGCGAAATACAGGCATCCAAGATGTCGAACGCCACAATTGCATACCTTTCTACGTGTTCAGGCGCGGAGAGCAAAGCCACCAAAGTTTCTGATGAGGTGATTCACATCGTAAGCGCATTTCAGATCGCTGGATTCGAGCATGTTATTGGGAGTCTTTGGAAGACCAAAGACGCGGCATGTCGGCAGGTTGCCGAGGAGTTTTACAGGGCGCTCTGGCGTGCTAAGGGGCCTGGTGAGCCTGCGGTCGAGGTACATCATGCTCTGCACATTGCTGTTCAGTTGCTTAGGGAGAAGCATCGGGATAAGCCACTGATCTGGGCGCCCTTCGTACATTATATTATGGTGGCTGAGGGGGTGATCTAGCCAGGTAACCCCTAGAATTTCCATCGAAACAAGTACCTAGGTGTCCTTTTCACTCTTTTCCCTCAGAATCTGCGCCCAACTCGTTTCCATCTCCATCTTCGCCCTCCACAATGACCGCTTCGAGCACATCGTCCTCCGTAATCTCGCTTCCCCTAACACCCCAAGTGACCATCCATCGTGTATCCCCCAAGAAACTCTTATCCACCGTCTTACTAGAGTACCACTTGAACGACACCTTGCAGTACTGGATCACATAAACCGACTCCCCTGCCACATCAAACGTCTGCACTTCTCTCCTCCGCCTTCTGCACCGACCCGCCTACGCCAGGATCCAGCGTGCCAGCCAACGACACCATCCCCGGCACCATTACATTCGCTTCGACGACAGAAGACACAGGGACACTGAAATTCACCCCCAGCCCCCTTTCTGACTGCTCGCCCCGTTCCAAAACAGCATCCACAAACGTCCGGTACCCCACGGTAAAAAAAATAAAAAAAAACATCCTCCCCATCCTCAATCGCCGCTTCCAACCACACGCATCGCAAAACACAGCCTTCCACTGCGCAAGCTCGTACTGCGTCGCCAGCGTCGCCTCGACACGCGCGATATCGCTTCGCTTCCGTCCGCGGAATAGGGAGAGCAGCTCGGTGAGACGGATATCGCTGCTGGTTGTCTTGGTGGTGTGCACGAGTTCGTTGACGTTTTGGCGGGATAGGGTTACGCTGAGACGCGGCTCGTCGGCGGGGAACGGGTCGTGGTAGGAGCGGAGGGGGTTGTAGATGTCGGTGGTGAATCTGGCGAGGGCGACGGAGGGGAGGGGGCGGAGGGGGAGTGAGTTTGTCCATTTTCGGGAGGGCATGGCTGATGTTGGATGGAGTGAGGTCTGGACTACAGCGAGGAGTGGGCAGTTGAAGTTGATGATGTTGATTGATGAACAGTGAAGTTTGGCGGGAAAGTTGAAGCGCTGAGCTGAGGTCTCAGGGGTTGAGTGTGCTAGGCGTCAACCGTGACCTAAACTATACCTTAAGTGAGCTGCGCCACGGCCATCCGCAACTAGCAAGCCAACGCGCCGCGGCTCGGCTTGCTTACGTATGTCGGAGCTGATCGAGACTGTGAGGCCTCACTGAAGTCGATTGGTCCAATGATTTCAACGACTAGGGTGCTAAGAGATTTGTTTATAAAACAAAGGGTTCGCGGAGACGCTGGCAGTTGACGTGAGTACAGTACAAAGATCAAGGACAATACCTACCTGCGGATACCATATCAGCTTCTCCGTCGATAGTCGTATTATCCTAGTGTGCCATCGCGCATTTTCCACTATTACATCCGGAACCCAACGAGACCATTCCACCATACTTCAACTCACTCAACGTCCAGCACCAGTTCACCCGCCTTAATCCCCCTAGCCTCGGCCCTGACCGTAATCCTCCCCTTGTCTCCTTGCCTGGCCCTTACAATCGCCAACGCCCGACCCCTGAACGCCTTTCTCTCTCTCGACGGAAAGGGGGTCATATCAGTCGGGTCACCGTTGTCCGTCGACACAATCTCCCCGGGGCCCGTCACGGAAAACGTCACAGCCGGCTCGGCATTGGCGACAAATTCTCCCTTATCATCCACCACCGCAACCTCCACAAACGCCAGGTCACTTCCATCCGCCATTATGCTCTTCCGATCGCGGTACGTCGTCATCTTCAACTCCGCCGCGTCGCCCGTCGTGCGCATCGTAGCGTTAGCCCACTCGCGCCCGCCCTTGTACGTCATCACGCGCACCTCGCCCGGTTCGTACGTGACCCTGTCCCAACGGAAACGGTATGTCCCCGCGGCCCTTTTGATGCGACCTTGCGGTCTGCCGTTGACAAACAGCTCGGCCTCGTCGCCAGATGAGAACACATGGACGGGTGTGACCTGGCCAACCCGGTTGGGCCAGTTCCAGTGAGGGAGAATATGCGCCATCCTGACATCCGGGTTCCAGCGCGCCTGGTACAGGTAGAAGCGGTCCTTGGGGAACCCGGCGAGGTCAATGATACCAAAGTAACTGCTGCGCGATGAGTCGTAGGGGGTCGGCTCGCCGAGGTAGTCCCAGCCGGTCCACACAAACTCGCCTCCGACGTAGGGGTACTGGTCCTGCGCGGCAAACACCTTATCGGGCGAGGCCCCCCATGACACGGCGTACAGCTCGTACGCGCTGACCTGGCGAGTCTGGGGGTCCACGCCGGCTCCGTTAGTGCCCACGATGGCGTTGTTGCTGCTGGTCACGGGGAAGAGGTACGTGCCGCGGGAGCTGACCACGGACGAGCTTTCGGTGCTGAAGATCATCTTGTTGCCGTGGCGGGCGCGGAAGTTCTGGAAGGTTGGCCCACCGTTGCCCCGGCCCTCGCCCTGGTAGTTGAGTCCGATCATGTCGACGACCGAGGTGAATTCGGCGTCTGGGCTCGCGTCGTTCATGCCCACTGTCGACAGCCGCGTGGCGTCTTCTTGCCGGACAATATCTCGGAGTCGGCGGGCCGCGGCCGCACCGTTACTGCTCCGCTGCTCGGCAACCTCGTTGCCAAAGCTCCACGCCCAGATGGACGGGTGATTGCGGTCGCGGCGGATGAAGGCACGTAGGTCCGGCTCGGACCAGTCGGCGAAGATGGTCTGGAAGTCGTTGCGCACCTTGTGGCTTCCCCAAGTGTCAAAAATCTCGTCGAGCACCACCAGGCCCATCCGGTCAGCCATTTGGAGCAGTTCGGGCGCCGGCGGGTTGTGCGACGTTCGGATTGCGTTGCTGCCCATCTCCTGCAGCATTTCAAGCTGGCGCTCGGCCGCCCGCACGTTGAAGGCCGCACCGAGCGAGCCAAGGTCATGGTGTTGGCACACACCCTGCAGGTACACTCGCTTGCCGTTGATGTAGAGCCCATCCCCCTTGTATTCGAGGGAGCGGATGCCAAAGGGCGTCTCGTATGTGTCGATGAGCTGGCCGTCGGCGTAGACACGTGTGATGGCGACATACATATTGGGTTCCTGCGCCGGCCGGGGCCCCCATAACCTTGGGTTCTGCAACGTGACCGTTCCGTTGACCGACTTGATACTGCCTGGGCCTACGCTGAGGGTCGCATTGGGAAACCCCCCAACTCTCGTGCCCGGTTGCCCGCCCGCCCCGTCCAAAGTGTGGATGTCAGTAACGAGCTGTACCTCAGCTGATCCTCCAGTTCTGGCAGCGTTTTCCACGTCAACGGTCAGGTCTAATGTGGCTGACCGCGACGAGACTTCCCTGCTCCTAATGTAGGTTCCCCATTGACCGACATGGATTGGATGTGCTTTTGTAAGCCAGACATTGCGGTAGATTCCAGCACCGGGATACCAGCGCGACGAGTCCAGGGCCTGGTCAAGCCTGATCGCTAGTTGATTATCTCCTGACCGGACGTATGGTGTCAGGTCCAGGCGGAACGAAGCGTAGCCATATGGCCACCCGCCCACCAAGACGCCGTTGAGCCAAACAGCAGCGTACGACATGGCGCCGTCAATTTCAAGGTAGACGGCCTTTCCCTCGTCGGCGGGCGTAAGAGCAAAACTGCGGCGGTACCAGCCAACTCCTTGAATGGGCAGTCGGCCCATGCTACCCCCCACGGGTACGTTGCTGCCCTCGTAAAATGGCCCCTTGATGGCCCAGTCGTGTGGCAGGTTGATGGCTTCCCAGGAGTTGTCATTGTACCCAGGTTGTGCATAGCTGACATTAGCAAGCGGAGTTGTAGGCCTCTGAGTGCGGCGCGATGGATCACTGATGAAGTTGTTTGCCGACGGCATCATCCATGGTTTCAGTGTGTTGTAGTTGAGGTTGTCCGGGTTTGACGTGAAGCGCTGGAAGCGCCATCCCGCGTTGAGACTCACACGCTCCCGGCCCACCGGTCTCGTATCATCCTGCCGGCGTGTTGCGACACTGCGCGCATCGACAAGTGTGTTGTCCGACCTCAACGCAGCGAGGAGAAACAGGCCCAGCAGAGTGTGCCAGAGAGCACAACATGCCCTACGACCGGAAAACATGGTGGATCGAGGTGATGGACTGCCGGCGATGGTCCCGAGACACTGTCAGGTCCTAGGGAATTGATCAGGACGGGACTTAAAAATGGCCCCTCCGTCCATTGACCGGATGTATCATGTGGTCTTGTCCCATGGCACCGTTGCAATCCCCATCGCGGTTACCCCAGGTCATACTGGACGTGTCGTTCTTGCCATTGGGGCGCTATCAACCGGCTGGTCCGGCTCTTTCCCTTCGGTAGTATATAATATTTACGGGCAGGTATTACCGCCTATCCCATGCCTTGCCTGAGTTGCAGTTCCTGCCGATCCCCGCGATCCGGCCCACCAGTCCCAGAAACGCGGTTGCTCAGTTCAACCGAGCAGCAAGAGCGGCACCTCATTCTTAAGATTCTTTGTCAGGAGAGTTTCATTGCAACAGAGCAACCCCGCCCCTGTGTTACTCCCATGATGTCAATGGTGGAAATGACCAGGAATCACAGTGACACGGAAAAGATCACAAGACGGAGAAAATATTTCCGCTTCTCACACCTCGGGCTGTGATTGCATCCTGAGCCATGCTCAAATCTGCGGCACCTTCGTGTAAACTTACAGACGCATCAACTTAACACTGCCAGGTCTAACCTCTTGTCCCGTACAGCAATAGAGATGGTAGCCACGATGTAAACAAAGAACCTGCCGTAAGCCCGCTTTGAGTATGGGTGTACAAATGCATACTAAGCTGCCTCTTTTGTTTACAAGCTCTGACAGTCTCATAACTGACAGTTATGTATCCCTTATCCCGGCCACAGCGCAATTTAAACGATGTGAACCCTTGCTCCTCCTTTACCAAGGGTTCAGGTGTCGCTCTGACGCCCTCCCGGCCTCAGCTTGGCCTTGACCATGCTATAACAGGCGCGAACACTTCCAGATGATCTCTCTAATCTCGACACCTCCCTCAAACGAGACTAAGTCTATGGATAAGTTCTTTAAGGGGTGAGATCACTACTTAAGAATGCTTTACTAGTGTACCCAGTTGAGCGTACCTAATGCCGTGAGACAAACAATCCCCTGCGACTTGGAATCAGTGCATATCCAAAGTCCAACGGCGATCCTCGGACCTGCTCCGGCTCGACACGCCGTAGACACCGGGTCCCGGCTTAGAGAGTTGTAATCGGGCCTGCCGACTTACGTCGGGACATCCCGACTTGACTCAGAGGTCTGCCGGCCGAGTATCAGCGCGCTTATGGATCAAGATCTTGAGACAGTGGTAGCCGCCAATTAACTAGTGTCAGGTACTCAGGGGCATACCTTAAGTGACTAGTACTTGCGGTGGAAGACCAGGTATTCACCACTAGTGTGCATACGTCTCCTACACTAGGTAAACTCATTGGATACCACCCCGACCAAGCCATCGATACTTTTTGAAGGTACAAAACGAGTGCCTATTGGGTGGATTGCCGCTGGCGTGAAGAACTTAGTTCCATTAAGGGTGGCACTGCATTGTAGTGGGACTGGAAGGGGAGTTATGTAGGCGAGTAAGAGCTTACCCGTAGGCAGGATCCATGATGCATTACAAAAGTACTAGAAGCTACATTCCCCTGGCGGATAGGTACTACTTCTGGTTTTGGGGCGTGTACCATCGCGGTCTTTTCAAGTTGCAAGTCTAAGGCTTCAAGTAGGTGGTACATGAGTAAGGCAAACTAAGGTATCTGACTCGGGTGCTTGGCCGAGTTGCGTTGCCCAATATTCATTGTGATATTCGAAATGCAGTGCCAGGTTCTCTCACCCCAGTTATGATGTGCTACTTACCTACTAAGTAGTACCGTAGTTAATGTATGTACAGTACCAAACGTGCTCAAACACGCTCAAAATCTTTGCATGGACCTATTCCCCAAGGTAAGGTATACTACGTTCTCTACCTTGCAATACTGGTCCATATTTTTGGCATGCACCTTGCATTCCACGGTTTTGTGAGAAGTGACTACTGACAGGTGGAAAGCGGAAGCCAAACAGAGGGAGTACGAGCTGGGGAGAGGAATCTGACGGCAGCTTGTGCACGACAACTGAATGCCTACTCATAGTGTGGAACAGTTATAGTATATATTACCGTTAGTTGGGTGCATTTAATCAAGAGACTGTCCTTTTTCCTTCTTCTTCCTTCCCTCTCAATATATCCTGTGTAGGCGAGGGCGGGTTCAAGTTGCATAGGGTCAGCTCAGCCTCTCTCGGCACACTCTTCTGGGTCCCTTACCTCCCCAGATTGAGGTGAGCTTACTAGTATGTATGAAAGGCTAAAGGGCTCCTTGACAACTGGGGTTTCATATCATCAAACGCACAGGATCGATCATGTCATGAGCGTCATGGGTTGTGCGGGAATATGATGCTGCTTGAGACGGCGTCATCCTGCGTTTTCTTTTGCACACTGAAGGTGTAATCGTGCCCAGACAGCATCCAAGACGACGTAGAGCCTAACTCGCCTTAGGTGCTGTTAGCGGCCGGCACCGTAGGCCCTGATGCCGCGGGTACGGAGCTCGCCCGAAAATTGCCCGTTTAGGAAAGAGGTTGTTATTCAGTGTCCCGCCCCTTGGCACTGTCGTCTCCGGGCCGTTTTTCCAGCCCCCCTTCGCCAAACTGATCACCTCCCTCCTGAAGCGTGTCAAGATCTGGATTCTGGATGCATCATGGTGGGCGTGTTGACCTGGAAAGCTGACCTCACTGCTGCCCAACCTGCTGCATCATACCGTAGGATCCCTCCCCGTCAACGCAAGATGACGGCATGGCCTCTTCCGCTGGGACAGTGTGGTGTTGTTGAATCTAGAACCAGCGGGTGAGGGCGGGAGATGAACGAACCAGAAACTAAAATGGCAACCATTTCACAAGGGTAAAACAGATAAGCTTTTTCATTTAGACACCCCGTTGCAGGATTGGGCTTGATAACCGATTTAATTAGTTCTCAGACAAGATCATGCGGTTCAACGTCTAACTCGAACCATGCGCTGCCCTGTCTCGTAACAGGTTTTAGAGCAAAAACTCAAGAAATTCTACTGCCTATACCAATGCTGCCATTCTCAACCCTCTCTGCCCGCCAAAATGCGATATATGCTTCTACATGTACCCCACAAGACATGGAGTACAGGAATGGTTTGATGCGAGGCGCTACTGTGCTTTGCATGGATACTGAAAGATCGGGCCGGCTTAAAAGTCCCACAGAGTGCCAAACGCGTGCAATCCGGCTGGAGAAAACGTCAGCCGCGGGATCCTTGCCGCCAAGAGCTGTCAAAGGGAGCAACGTACCTGCGCGGCAACCTTGCATCATCTCGTCGTTGCCCTGCTTGTTGGACGTGATGAAGATGACCTCGGCCCCGAAGCTGTCCCACGTCTCCTTGAGGAGCTTCACCGTGTCCGGCCGCCCTCCTCGCTTCTTGGAGTCCCACAGGATCATGCGCTCGGGTGGGATATTGTTGTAGATGAGGCCTGTGATCGTCGGACCGAACGTCTTTTCTTGGTCGGAGCCGATCCAAATGAGGAACCTAGCACAGCATTAGCGAAAGCAAGAAGCAAGGAGCCCCTTTGCTCGCTAAAACTACGTACCAATTCTCACTTTGGATGCAGGTAGACAGCGCCGCCCCGATACCGGTTCCCGTGCAGATGCGAATTCCTCGCTTGAACATGGCGGACGCGTGCCCAACACCAGCTATTCCGTGTTAGTCAACGTTCCGTCCACCAGGAAGGTAACCTACCGAACTTGAGCTCTCGGGTCCACACCGTCCTTGGCGGGTTAGCGACGAGATCCTTGGTGAAATCGCCCTGAACGCCGCAAATCATGTAGTGGCAGCCGGATTTTCGGCCCTCACTGATGATGCCAAAGGCATGGTACTCCATGATGGACGTTCGGCTGATCCTCCCGAGCAGCCCTTGCTGCATCCCACGCTGAAACTTGAGGATGGCGACTTTGGGCGACGGCTAAATCCCTCACGTCAGCGGTGCCGTGCGAATGGAGCCGCGAAAAGAACTCACAATCTCAACCTCCACAGGCACCTCTCGAAGAGTAACCCAGGGGATGAGAATACTGTGTGTCGTTAGTCATCAACTCAGAAGCGACACTGAAGTCAGAGACGTACAAGATGGTCATGAAGACAGCGAACCAGAGCTCTTGCGTGCTGAGCAGAGAGTTTGCATCCGCTCTCCATTCCCCTCGCTTGATGTCGTACGAATTTCCAAGAACCACGAACACCCACGTGGCCTAGTCCTTATTAGTACCATGCTCGAGCTCTTTTCCAAAGGCGTGAAGCATACCGCAAGACCCAGCCATCCAATAAAGCGGTGGTGTCTCTCGAAAGTGTTGTGGTGGTTGCTAGTAGATTGTCAGCCGAGTCCCTCGCATCAGAAAAATTGGCACACTGACTTGCGAACCCATGGGAAGGCGCTCAGGACTGAGATGAAAACAGCAACATTGGTAATGATACCGGTAGCAATCACTGAGCTGTGTTGAACAGAGCGATACCTGATAATATCGACGATCTTGAAGACGAGCCAGCTTGTAGATGCGGTCAGCTGAAGAGTTCGGAAGGCTCCAGTTCCAAGAACTTACGCCGCTCCCGAGAGAGCACACCCTGAATGAATGCCTCCGACGTGCTGCAGAATGGAAGTCACGGCCAACTTGAGCCATACCGGAGCCCACTAGCCGCTCATTAGAGTCTCGGTCGGTAAAAGGGGGAAGACTGGGAACATACGCTGCGCAGGCCGTAGATGGAAATCATGTACAGGATTCTGAGAAACAGTTCATTCCGCATCAGAACGGCGCAGAGGAGATTGCCGAGAACCAGTGCACCGAGATGGTTCTCGGCGTACGGGAACCGACCAAGAGCGGTGAGAATGATGCCCGTCAAGTTGAGTAGGGTGACAAATGTGAAGAACTTGCGGTACGTGTTGAACCAAAGCTGGAAGCGGATCCATCTGCTGACCTTCGGCTTTGGAGGTTTTTTGGCCGCTGCTGGGGGCACCCGTGGTGCCGGGATTATGGCAGTATCGGCAGAAGAAACCTTCTTCTCATCCACATAGGCCGGAGATGGCGGTGAAAGCACGGGCAAGGTCGGGGTGCTATCGTAGATGCCCTTCTCGGCATCGTCCCACGCGCACGACGTGATGACTGCCCCCTCGGGGGTAGCTTCTTCTTGATGTGTCCATGTTGGGTGGGTGGACATGGTGACCGACTCTCGTTGGTAGACAAGCAGCTGGTATCAAAAAGAAGGAAACCAGTCAACGCCTAGCGAAGTGAAGTGAAGGACTGGGCTAGCATCCGTGAGATCTTGCCAGATTTGCGAGCTTTAACTGTTTGTAAAGACAGGATGGGAGAACCACAAGGAACCGTGGCCCGAATCAAGGACAAAGAGGGCTACGGTGAGCGCACGAGCGAAGGCTCTTCGTTCCGAGAATGGTATGGCGTTCCCTGACGCAGAGCCACGACGCCGGTTCCAACGACCGATGGCGAGCAGGTGGCCAAGACGAGGCGGAGAGTTGAAGATCCAGATCCGGGCCCTGATGCTACCTAAGTAGTCATCCGGGAACAGGACCGTCGAGAGGCGGTTCCCCCTGTTTAAAACACGAGGCGGGCTCCATGGAAGCGGGTCTGGGAGGCCTGGGGCCGTCATCAAAAACGAGCAGATATGATGTACCGACTCCTGCCAAGGAAACGAATAACATGCTGGCTCGAGGTGGCCTGGCCTGACTGCGGCGCACCAGCTCCCAAATCCGCCAGGATAGATATGCCGGGGTGCATTTGTGGGGAAGTCTGGGGACGAGGAAGCCGTTCGGGCAATTGCCGCCTCTGGGGTGCGCTTACAGGCTGTACAGGCGAGGGCTATGTCCCAATTAGGACGCCAGGACAATACATCAAGCGAGATTGATGCTTTTTACCGCCGCCCCGTTGGGCATGCAGCGCTGATGTCACATGTACGGGAGCGTGCTGGTGGTCGCTGTCTCTCGCTGCTTCTGCCAAATACCGCATTAAAGCAGCGATTAGCCAAATTAACCCCGGATTCTGAGCCGGAGACTGCACATCCACACGGCAACACGTGTGAGTGCCCGGCAACCAGATTTTTTCGCGGCCTGCGCTCGTCTGGCGTCTAGGTCTAGGGAGGCACATGGAGAATTGTCCAAGGCATGGTGATGTGCTCGGACGAGAGGAGGCATGAAGAGACGCCGTGCTGATCATAGCCGCGCGACACGCGAATATGTCTTTTAGACAGTTCTACCGGAGTTCAGCGGATAGCCCTTTTCAGCCAATGAATGCTACATAGACTCGTGGAGGAATTGGCGGCAGCGTTAGCCAGGTAAGGCACCGGACGCGCCGGGCCGGAGTCAGTTCTGCGGCCCATTGAGGCATGAGCAAATACCTCGTGGACCCATTGGCTAGATCTCTGCACGAGATGGCCATATCTGTGTTCGTGTACCTCAGGTGGCTCACCGATTAGAAGGTACACGATAAAGGCCCCATCACCAGGGACCCATCCCACTCTTGATCAAGACCCCCCACACGGTGGTTCCTCGGCGTCGCGTTCCTTGAGGCACCGATCTGCAGGCTGCAGTAGCGCTAGAGGATCGACGGAGAGACGGGAAGAGCGCCAGGGCAGCCCAGCCTGTGTGCTCTCAGCCTTGGACAGCCTCGATGAAACGAAAAAAAAAAAAAAAAAAAAAAAAAAAAGTGGTCCGGGCCACCGGACGCAGAAAAATGCACGAAATCGGCAGATATTTGACAGCTGCCGCTCCCGGCGCAATCTCGTGGAAACATCATGTCTGCAGGCGCTCTCAAGGCTTGGAATCATGAAGAAAGCCGGAGACAAATTGTTGACGACGGCTGAAAAGTTCCTGGAGATGACCTAGGTACGGATGCAAAAGCGCAACGATGGTTTGCGACTCGGCGGCGGTTGAGACCGGGAACCGTATCAGGACTCAGGAGTCTACACAAAGGGATCTGTTCGACGTCAGGGCTGGTGTCGTAGGGTAACGATGGAGGGCACGAAACAACGTGGTGCGGTAGAGTCAGCTCTGTTGATGTCATGGTGTGACACTGCAATTGTGTGGGAAACAAAACGTTGCAGGTTGCCGTTGCCAAATGGAGGACGTTGGTGAAGTGGATGCCTTGGCACGTGATGCCAGACTGAACAAAACTGGAAGCCGCAGCACGGACGGATCCAGATAGCATGCACTCAAGAAAATCCAATGCGACGGAATTAAAAATAATAAAAAGAACTACAGCGAATGGTTTACTAACTTGGTATTGTTTCCGGAGTCAAATACAGTCTGGGCCCTATGTTGAGGTTTGCAGGGAGACCTGGGTACGTACAGTACGGAGGTACCTTGACTGGTTCGAAGGTCTGCCGGGCCCCCGGGCCGGTGGAAAGCCCCACTCCCTTAGTTCGCGGCCGGGTGGGGGCTCGCCGCCCCCATGGATGCCCGATCGGAAGCCCCGCCCGGCCAGCTTCTAAGATCACGATCTCCACCCATCAGTCCCCTACACCAAGGAATAAGTCAATCCAATTCAATTCCAATTCAATTCAATTAGAATCTTTCAATTTCCAATTCAACTATTGGCATTCAAATATCTCTTAATTCAGTCAGGTTTTATACCCAATTCAACTTAATTGATCAATTTTACTAACTTTTTTCCCAGGTTTTCCCAGGCTTCAATTCCTTTCTTTGAATCCTTTGAATACAATGCTAAACGAACGTTCCTAATGCCTATTGCCATTTTATAAATAGAGCCCTAGCTAGTTAAGCTTTTTCTTATATATATATCGCTAATGGATTCTTGGCTAGTTGAGCGCTTACTTATATATATATCATGTTGCTAATAGAGCTCTAGCTAGTTAAGCGCTTGCTTTTATATATATCGCTAACGTACTTGCATAGCGAGTGGGCCAGCATAGCGAGTGGGCCACTTTTCTTCCTTTTGTCATCTTTCAACTTCATCGCAAACTTTTTCCACAACCTGAAATGGAAGCTCTTCCAAAAGAAAGTCGCATAATCCTTGCGCTTGAGGCTCTCAAAAAAGACCCTAAACTTTCCATACGAAAAGCTGCTGTGATCTACACGATCTCACGAAGCTCGCTTCAACACCGACGTGCCGGAAAGCAATCACGATGCGAATTACCTGCCAACTCGAGGAAGTTGACCGACTTGGAGGAAAAGGTGCTTCTTGAGAGAATACTCGACCTTGATACGCGAGGATTTCAGCC